AGAAGGAAAGAGAGACAACTTCTAACTTCAGCAGCAGAACTACTCTCTACTCTCCTAATCTTAAAGACTATCTGGCGCTTCGTCGCGGCTGCTTTTAGTGTTGCTATTGTTGCTCCTCCGGTGACGGAATTGCCCGCGACGCTTTTGACAGCCGGCCTGGCCTGTCTTCACTTCCTGAACAATGACCCTGGCACTTATAGACAATCAATTGATGGTATCACGCATTGCAAGTTGAAATAAATGGCTTGCACAGTTATAAAATCATCCGCCTTGCGAAGACAACTAGCACGCCCACCGTGTCGGTCTCCTTCCACATTCCCCATATCGGCCCCCGTCACTCCACGTCATCTCCCCAGGATCGCATCATATCAGATTATAATTGCCCTTCAAGATGGAGATGACTCTAATCTGTCTTTGGTCCTCGACATTCTATAGCTCACGGTGATTTTCGCTCATCATATACAGCGTTGAGTCTGGTTCAATGATGGCTTTTCGCTTTTCGCTCTACTCAAGGTCAAGGGCGAGCCTGAGATCACTTACACACGCTACGCGACGAAGCCCCCACAAAGTATCATATCGGTCAGAACGGCATTCCCAAAGGTGATATACACGATATAGTAGAGTATGAAAGAGCACAGGCATGTATCAGCATACAGGGTAGCATCCCCAGCTACCCGGAGTCTCCGCAGTGGCGAGTTTCCTGTAGATGCACGCCATCATCCCCTTTCGATTTCTTCTATTCTAATCCTCCAACAACTTCCCGATTCCTCATTACGCGGGTATTTAGTGAGCTGCAGACATGTTAGTCGCAAGCTCGGAGATAATGGGATTGAAGGAGAAGAGGGGTAACTCACCATCGGGCTGGGCAAGGATGTACTCAACAGCCTTGTCGACTGTAGCGGAAGGCGATCAGTTCTCGACTCGGTCAATTCTCTTCGATGTTTGTAGTGACTTACCGCTGTGGATGGAGTCGGCCTCCTTGTCGGGGATCTCAATGCTGAACTCCTGCAGGCAGGTCAGTAAGCGCGCGATCACGGCAAAACCAAATGCGGCAGCCGTACCTCCTCGATGGCCATGACGACCTCAACGGTATCCAAGCTGTCCAGACCGAGATCGTTCGTGAAGTGAGAAGCGGCGTTGATCTACCGAGTATATATGGTTAAAACATGAACCCTTTACCGAGGGATTTTCGCCCGAAGCCGGAGCCTAGCGGGTATCGACTCGAATCACTAACCTTGCTGGCGTCGGAAACCTAAGGCGCATTGAATCCAGATACGTCAGTTCATGCTCTTCTGATAATTCTCGGTGATGCGAGACAACACGCTGATGGACCTTCATCCACGGCCCTGGAATGTGACTTTGACGCACCTTGTCGAAGTTCTTCAACAGGTTGACAATGCGGCCCTCGACCTCCTCCTTGTTGAGACCGGCAGGAGCGGAGTAGAGACGGACACCCTGGTAGGCGAAGCGAGGAGCGAATTGGGCCGGGCGAGCGACAGCAGAGCTACGGATCTGGAAGGGAGCCGCAGTCTTGACGGCACGAGGGACAGAGGCCCGGAGGGAGCGGACGACAGCGGCGCGGAACATGGTGAGATATGTGAGAATACCCAAGGGGGAGATATTAAGAGGGGAGAAGAAGTGTGGGGGGTGGGGAGGGAGAACGGAGAAGAGGCTGAGTGAAAGTGATAGATTAGCAGATGGGAGTGAGTGAACTCTGGGCTGGGTTGAGATGGAGACTGAATAAGTCGACGGATGGTTTCTGTTGCGGCTCGGAGCAGCAAAATCCTGCCGCCGGCCAATCAACGGGAGGGAGAAAGCCATGACCTAAGCCCAATTCATTTTGGAAGAGTGCAAACTGAACCAAAACTGACTTGACTGGAACTTGCTACCAGGAAAGGCACGGTGACCACCTGCACTGCATCAATCCATTTGAACTTCCCTTCCCTTCTCCCTCAATTGATTCCTCCTCTCCCCTCCCCCTCATCCTCCCCCTCCCCCCCCCCAGGCAAACTCCACTCGCCATGGCCTCCACCAAGTCTGTCGCCAGGCTTCTGGCCTATTCCCGCCCATCGCCGTTCGCTCTCCGTCCTACGCCCATCGGCTCCATCGCAAACTTCTCCTCCTCAGTCGCCCGCGCAGCTACGCCAGCTGGTCCTCCCCAACCAGGCTTCCGCTTGCCCCCTCCGCAGAAATGGGACCAGTCCTCTGAGTCCGCCCTCGACAAGGCCACCAAGTACTTCCTCATGGCCGAGCTGATGCGCGGCATGTACGTCGTGCTGGAGCAATTCTTCAGACCTCCGTAGGTGCCACCCTGCCTTCGCAAGCTTCCCGCTAGCCCCGAACCTCGACGGTGGGCCACTCAAGCCCGACCCTATCCTCCCATCACACACCTACTCGCCGTCAATTGAGCTTTGGCTCCTCCCTCTGCCGGAGCTCCCCCTCGTGGACCCGAATCATCCGCTAACGCGAAGAACCCTCGACAGTTACACCATCATGTACCCTTTCGAGAAGGGCCCCATCTCTCCTCGTTTCCGCGGTGAGCACGCCCTGCGTCGCTACCCCACCGGTGAAGAGCGCTGCATTGCCTGCAAGCTCTGCGAGGCCATCTGCCCGGCCCAGGCCATCACTATCGAAGCCGAGGAGCGTGAGGACGGGAGCCGTCGGACGACCCGTTATGATATCGATATGACCAAGTGCATCTACTGTGGCTACTGCCAGGAGAGTTGCCCCGTGGACGCTATCGTTGAGAGTGAGTTTGGCCTTCCCAGTCGCCCTTGGACCGTACCGTTGGGACGCGTGACTGACCGACCTTCACCTGTAGCTTCCAACGCTGAATACGCCACGGAGACTCGTGAGGAGCTGCTGTACAACAAGGAGAAGCTCCTGGCTAATGGTGACAAGTGGGAGCCTGAGATTGCCGCTGCCGCCAGAGCCGATGCTCCTTACCGTTAAGCCGCTTTGGTGTTAGACGACGATGTTCAGCCAGCATCTGCCGACATGAGGAGTAGAATCTTAACGAAAGTATCCGCTCCCATCTGTCGGTATGCTGGGGAGGTTTAAGCACTGAAGAAGAAAAGGGAATGTGTTTTTTCAAATTATTGAGAGAGTGGAAGAGTAGGGTGGTGGTCTCTCATCCCGTCAAGTTGACTCGGCTGCTCTAGCCTTCCATTACCCACCTTGTACATAAACTAACGCTCGCAACCCCTACCCCAACCCGATTTCTCATCTGTATTTGTCGGGCTCACTCCCAGAGGGGTGTCCTCTGCAGTTGCCCGGAAATCTCCGGCTCTGGTACTTCTCTGGTCTGTCTGCTATTGTGTGTCTTCTTCGATTGTCGAAGGATATCTATCTTTTTCTGCATGTCTCGATTATATGTGTCTGTTTACCTACACTGCCGTTTCCGGTTCTTTTGCCTAGGGATTTCCAAATCAAAGAAGTATTCTTTTGCCCCTTTGTTCTAGAACGGAAGAAGAAACCAGACAGAAGAGAATCAGTCATTCCTGAATGGGACACCAGATTGTATCAAATTCGTATCAACAAATGTGTTTCGGATGAAGTAGGAACGCTGCCTATGCACATATGCACATAACTTTGAGAGGACAAGAATGAACAAAGAAATAGGTAAGTAAAAAAGAATTCCCCCCAGAGTTTGAAAATGTTAAGAACTCCCCGAACACCATATCTCCAAATGATGACCCGCACTCAACAACACAACCCATTCCCTTTTTTAGTGAAAGCAAACTTTTTATGGGGAAAAAAGCACACACATCTGCTTTTGTCTCTCTTTTTTGGTTTTGGTGATTGATTCGTCCTTGCCCCTCCCGTCTCCTGGTTGTATTCGAGATATCGAAGGTGGTGGTGGGGGGAGGTGGAATTGAAGGAGTAGGTAAGGTATCGTAGTGGTGGTGGGTAGGGTAGGGTGGAAGGTAGATGATATTACATACTTGGGAAGGAACGACGACGACGGATCACCAGGGAGAATATCACCGCTCAATCAGGGTATGGAGGATAGCAATGAGGGAGGAAGAGAGGGAAACGGCAATGGTAAGAAGATGCAGTGGGAGGTCGGAGAAGGAAGGAAGGAAGGGCAACGGCGAAGGACTACCTTAGGTCCTGGTCACTTATTTCTTCTTCCCACCGCCACCAGCCTTAGCCTTGAAGCTACCTTCGAAGCCCGGTCTGGCCTTCTTCTTGCCTCCGCCGGCGGCGGGCTTCTTCTTGCCCTTGTTGCCTCCCTTCTCCTCGCGGCGCTTGCGGAGGTTCTCCTCGCGCTTCTGCTGGCGCATGTCCTTGCCGTGCTTGACGGCGTCGATACGCTCCCTCCACTCGCGCTCGGACTTCTTCTTAGCCGTCTCCTTGCGCTTGAGTGCCTTCTTCAGCAGCGACGTATCGTCGCGGACCCGCTCGCCATGGGCACGCTTCTTCGCGTTCAGCCACATGTCCTTCTCCTCGATGTCGGCCCGCCGCTCATCGTCCATGGACGCCAGCCGGGCCTTCTTGGCCTCGACAGCCTTGAGGGCGGCGGCCGGGTCGTGATGAGCACCCTGCCGCTTGGGCTGATCGCGGACGTTCTGGAGCGTGGGGTCGGCGTGCTGGCCGTCGCCGAAGACCACCCGACCGAAGGAGTAGTTGGCATTGCTGGAAGAGCCAACCGAGTCGGCAGGGGAGCGCGGAGAGGCAAGAAGGGAGCCGGATCCGCCGGGAGAGAAGCGGCGGGCCATGGCCTCGTCCTTCAGCCGTTGTTCCTCCTCGCGGGCCTTCTGACGCAGCTCCTTCTTGTGCGCTTTGCGCTGCTCGGCTTTTTGTCGGCGCGCTTCGATAAGCTCTTGGCGGTTGCGGGCGGGCTTGCCATTCAACCCATCGGCGTGACGAGCAGCCCGGAGCTCGTCCAGGCGCTTCTGAAGCCGCTGCTTCAACTGTTCGGAAGTGGCCTTGAGGGGCTTGAGGTCGTTGGAGGTGGAGGACTTGGGGGCATCGGTCGAGGGGGCGACGGAGGAGATGGAAGACCTGCCGGACTGGGGATTGGACGCATCAAATCCAGAGGAGTTGGGGGTCGACGAAGAGGTTTCGGGTTCTTCGTTAAACTCGAGTGAGAGCCCCTCTTCGGGAACAACGCCCTCGGCGGCGTCGCTCTCATCGCTGTCCTCAGCCTCCACTTCGTTGTCCTCATTTTTGCTGGCAGGGGCAGACTCTGAATCTTGCGCAACCTCGGCGGTAGATGTTTGCTCCTGCTTGGACTTTTGCTCGTCCTCCTTCGCTTTCCTGGCAGCGTCCTTGGCCTTCTTCTTCTCCTTTTGGTTGGCCTTCTTCTGTGCCTTCTTCTCTTCCTTCAACTTTCTGCGCGCTTCGGCGGCCTCGTTCGACTTGGCCTGGGCATCCGAGTTTGCCGAGTCTTCGGCCTGTTTTTGCTTCTTGGACTTTGCGTCACCACGTTTCAGACCTTCTCGGGGCTGCTCGGAGCCAAGTTCTCCGTCCTCGGACGAGGCGTCTTCTCCAGCTTTCTCTTCGTTCCGCTTGCGCTTACGAGCGTTCTCGTCCATCACATCCTTGGCCGTCTTGACATTATCGGGGTCTAACTTGGCCCGCTTGGCTTCGCGAGCTTGCTCCTTGGTCTGCTTTTTCCGCTGCCATTGGTCCTAATCCAGGGGTTGCGGTCAGCCACGTCCTGGGCAGCGGCTGGATAGTGATGGGGGGGAAGGGACAAGGGAGAAGAGAGTAGGAGAGGAGACGTAGGACAGGAGGGGTTTTTTGCTTGGAGCAGAAAAGGAGAAACCAAGGTGAGAACGTACACTGCCATCTTCACCGTAGTAGTTCTTTGCCGGGATTAGCGACAACAGACCATCGAAGGCCTGGGCGTGGTCTCGCAACCGTTCCTGATGAGAAGAAAAAAATGTCAATCTCGGGATCAGGCACACAGCAGAGCAGTGCAGTGCACGGGGCAACACACCTCGATGTCATCCATTTCTGCGAGAGACAAAAAAACCAGCAGGCTGTCCAAGAACACAAAAGAACTTGAGAAGCAAACACCAGCGCTGAAACTGGGGGGTTAATGGGTCTAAAGGGCAACGCTCGGGGTCGAGGTAACGAAAGCCGCGATACCACGAAAAAATTGGGTGGGCAGGTTGAAATCTTGGCATTGCTGGTTCTCCGCTCGGCTGTTCACCGCCTTCACCGCCTGCGCACACAAGATAATTAAGTACTCATGTCTTCCAGTTGGGTCAATCGGTCGGCCTTATCACCGGCAACTGGTAAGTCCGGGATGTCACTGGAAGTATGGACCACGTGCCCTTTACACCCACTACGTATCATGATCTGGACTTCAATGTGACCAGATCTGCACTCTGAAACTATACAGCATTCAATTCAATGAATGACAGCAGATGCAGAATCAGCCCACAGACTGCGATCCTTAACGGTATTTGTAGTATATTTCAGTTCTGTCATCTCTGTGAACCTCTTACTCTGGTGTTACTCTGTGATACATCTCGAATCTACATCATGAATATATATCCACCCCGCAATGTGCCTAGTATCGGGCAACAGGAGCCATCTACCTCGGCACTACCAGCCTCTAAAGCTCCAAGAATTCAGCGTCGGATCCCTTGTCATCTAAACCAACACAACTCTCACTCTCAATCGAGGTAATGTTGTCAAACGGCCAAGGAATCGTCCAAATCAAATCGAACCTAGTCGAACCCTCAATATATCAGCCACCCACACCCGAAATCCACGAGGCGTAACTGGTTCTTCCATTCTCGTACACGAGGGAGAGTCTGGAACTCACCGCTCTTCAGGATAAACGGGTGGGTCATCCGAGCCCAAGGCGCGGACGATATTCGCCATCTTTCCATGCCGCCATGAAATCAGGATATTGCCGGGCCCCCGGTAGTGACGGATCTTCCGCGCCACGCACTTCGCGTCATTGCGCTTACAGGAGGTGTCGATCGGCAGGGAGAGATCGTGGGCGAGCGGGAGGACGGTTTCGTAGGAGCGCCGGTGTTGGCCGACTATATCCGTATCGGGGTCAATGCTTTGCGACCAAAGGGGAGTTCACCAAAAGAGGGAGGGGGGCGCCGCTGGCTGGAGTTGCTTACGGGAGTTGATGTGTGGTGCCATTATATATCCGATATCATATGGTGAGTGGGCGCCGAAGACGGAACGCAGACATTCTGCGCGCTTGAAGCCGTCGGCGTTGAGACCGCTGTCGCTGGGATCCGGGGGCTTCTCCCCATGACGGATCAGGTAGATGGTTGGTTTCGTCGGTTGGGAGGGTGGGATGGAGGCACTCAGGGTCAGAGTGGATGCAGTGAGCAGGTATAGAATATTGGCAAGCTGAGAGGCGATCATCTTGATACTGTATATATGGTATGAGAGCTGATAGCGGTGATCACAGCTACCGCCGGGTCATTTCTAGTGCTTTATATCTCGAATCTATGGTGTCTTCTCATCGAGGGAGAGAGGATGTCCGCTTGCGCATCGCGACGTGCGGGAGAGTCGTCAGGGCTTTCGGGATATATGTACATCGGCCGAGTATTCGCCAGGTGAGGGAGGGTACGCGTGGAGATTTAAATATGGAGCAAGCAAGCAAGCTGAGGGTTGGTCGATCATAAAACACACTATCGATCGACGCAATGCAGATTTGGGGGGGGGGGGGGGGGGGGGGGGGGGGGGGGGGGGGGGGGGGGGGGGGGGGGGGGGGGGCAGCAGGGCAGCAGGCGACCAGGCGGCTGCATACGCAAGATGGCTGCTGAACCTGTTGTTGGCTGCTATGAGCGAATTTTTCGCGACCAGTAGACTGTGGAAATTTATTTGACGAGGAGATAACGAGTCCCCTGAGATGGGCCCTCTCGATCTCGTGCAACATGGAAGCTTTGACTTTGATTGGGACATCCGATCGGTCAGGCGACGATCCATGGAGCCCAGCTGAGGGTTTCTCGGGGCACAGAATTCATAACCTTAAAACAGGTCGATCTGCGGTGAGTGGTGTGTCCTCCCCAGTCAGAGTCAGATGATGTGAGCTGGCCGGCTGTTTTGATACTGCTTGTTTTCGAGCCATGAGTGAGGACCGTGGGGGTTTTTGTCACGGAACTCTGTAGGAGGCTGAAATGTGGATACGCTATAGCAGTTATCTTCAGTCGGGGGGATATGCTTTGGAAGGAAAGCTTGATGAGCAGGATCTTGCAACATGGCTATCAAGAAGTCCATTACCCTTGCATTTTGCTTTGTACTTTGCCTTGCACTGCTGACTGGTGATGTCCGTGGAGATTGAGAATGTCGTTTGTTGTATGTCGCATGCAAGGTAGCCTTGAGGCGGCATCGAGGAGCTGCGGATCTACTTATACCTGCCGTAGGTTTGTATGTACAGCACAGGTAGGTAGGTGCTCGTAAGTTGCCGTGCGCTCTCCCCGCGCTCCGCGAACAGACGCTCAGGCAGCCTCCCTGCTGCTCTGCATGAGCCTGTGAGGGAACAATTAAGCTTTCAAGTTGGCTCGGATAGGAAGACACTATGAACAAGCTCGGACTGAGAGTCAGTTCCTTGGGATGGGCTCTCCGCTTCGATAAATAACTACCGCTTATGATGTGTTAGATTGGGGTCCAAGTCTGGGTCTATCGACTACTGTACGTTAGTACTGTAGCCTGGGCAGTTGTTCCTCTCCTTAATCGGGGAGATATCAGCAGTTCATCCGAGACCAAGCCACTGTAGGTGGATTTGAGATACCCCTCCGCCTCAAAAGAAAAGATGGGTTGTGACTGTCGAGTTGCCTCGGATACTGAGCCGACAGCACGGGCCCCAATCCTTTCAGGTGACCGAAAAGGGGAGGGGTTGATTGATTGATCAGCAAGCGATGAGTTATTCTAGAAGCCCCTTCCACAAGGCTTGTGATCGCTTCGAGTACCTATATCCTCTCTCTTGCATCCTTCAGCTGAGGATCTTCTATTCTAGTGTGTGCTCGGCTCTAAGCCCCAATTTTCCACGGTCTCCAGAGGTTGAGACCCGAGGGAAACCAGCCACAGTGGGCTTACCAGCATCTGAGTGGTCTACGTGGGACTGTTTCCTCCACTTTCCGCACGTATTCACTGCCCCCCCGGTTACGTATATCTCAGCGGAAGATGTCAGACCAAAATTTCCGCTAGTGTATGTCTGCCTGTTACGTGCCGTGCGGGAACGACGGAGTCTCCGATGGGATGCACACTTGAACCCCTGTTAGTAAAAATAGGACATCGACATTTCTACTTAGGGGGTACCTAGTTTCTACGGAGGCTCGGCAAGCTCCAAATTGCAAAAGCACCTTTAATTCCATCTACCCGAGGATCCGGAAATGCGATAGACTCCCACTAGGGAGAGGGAGACTATCCGTACTCGTACTCTAAATCGAAGAGCTCATCCCGAGCCCCATAGAATCGCAGTCTTGGCATTACAGGCTCGGGCTATCGGCATCACGCCATTACCCGTCGTACTGCGGCCAAGCCGTTCCTTGAGGCTGTGCCAAGTACACCTGCGCCACAGTGACTGCGGTATGAAGTAACTTATGCAGGAGTTGATGCCTGAATGTGCACGACGGTTTCCAGCCTTACCAGCCAAGTTTTCGAAATCGGATGGCCGCATGTTTGTGACCAAGGATGATCGTTGCCCCAGTGGCGCATCGATGTACTGGTACAGTACCAGTGAGTGTATCTTTAGGTACACTCGGTAGCATGGGACTTGGAAAGTCACCATCGAGGCACACTATAGATGCCCTGGATATTGCGGCAGTGTCAGGAGTACCTCACTTAGCATTGGTGATCGGTCTCAGCCCTGCGTCCATCCCAAGAAACACATGGCTGCAAGAGCGCACAGCCACCCCACACCTCATCGTGGCGGGGGAGTCATCCGTACGGGTCACCGCTCTTGCGTAAACTCAGAACAATTCTCACATCAGAACACCCCAAAGACAACACTTACTGAACCCAGAGAGGTAATCATGTCCAGGGCTGGGGGGGGGGGGGGGGGGGGGGGGGGCAAAGGAATTGGGGCCAGTACTGTCCTGCATGGGGTTGTTTTTCTGACCGCAGTGTGGCTCAGTCATACGGAGAGAGGTAAGATTGGCATGTTTTGGCATGTTTTGCCTAGTAAATCTCGCAGGGCTTGGCATGAACGGAGAAGAGGGAAACAGTGGGAAACAGTGAATTCATGGTGGGGCTCGTCCCCAGCAATTCACAGGAAGAGCCAGGAAGGCCAGAAGGATCCGACTGCGCCTGCTCAGCCCTGTAGTGCCGTAGTAGTGCCAGATCAGCTTATCAAAGTGGCCAAATCTCCCACTATAAAAGCCTAAGGTGCCCCTCGTTCCCATCATCAGTCCTTCATCATACTATCCCACTTTCCTCCTTTCTCCGACTTAGAAGTCAGATAAAAACACTTACATCACACATCCATATCGATTTACCCCTCTTCGTCTCACACACACACACACACACACACACACACACACACACACACATTATGTCCGGCTACGATCAGTACAACCAGGGCCAGGGTGGCTACTACGGCCACCAGCAGGGTGGTTACCAGCAGGGTGGCTACCAACAGGGCGGCTACCCCCAGCAGCAGGGCTATGGACAGCAGCAGGGCTACGACCAATACAACCAGCACAGCCAGCAGCACGGTAGCCAGGGTGGCTCTGCCAACGACTACTATGGCTCCAGCGGACAGCAGTCTCAGTATGGTGGTGAGAGCCAGTACGGCCAGCAGCAACAGTACGGCCAGCACGGTCAGCAGCAGTACGGTCAGGACCAGCGTGGAGAGTAAGCTCACCCTCATTGATTTTCCCTCTACACCAAGGTATCATGGTGACTGACATGCTCTTTTCTCTTTTCTAGGTACAACCAGCAGGGTGCCCCTGGTGGCGCTCAGGATGGCGAACGTGGCCTCGGTGGTGCCCTCGCCGGTGGGCTTGCGGGAGGCTTTGCCGGTCACAAGGCGGATCACGGGATCCTCGGAACCATCGGTGGTGCCATCATCGGAAGTATCGCTGAGGACGCCATCAAGAAGCACAGACACAAGGAGGAGGAGCAGCAGCAGCAGTACGGCGGCTACCCTCCCCACGGTGGTCCCGGTGGCCCCCCTCCTCCCGGCTCTCACCACGGTGGCGGTGGTATGATGGACCAGTTCGGCAGCTTCTTCAAGAAATAGACGGCTCCTCCGTTGCCTGTTCTTGATCTCATGACCTTGCTGCTGCTTCATTCGATGTGACTGAGCCTTTTTATCTACTTGTTGCCCTTTTCTTTTTTTGTCACGGCCGGCCGGGGTATGGGAAATGAATCCTAGTCTTTTCTTCCAACAACCGTTTCTTGCGCTCAAGATTGCTCTGCTTTTCTCTGGATTGCCTCCTGAAGTGTTGATACTAGGGATTGGACTTGAAACTTGATACCGATGCTGGGTCTGCCAGCATATTTAGCTTATTAGTGGCTACGCTACAAAGGATCGTACTGCCTTTGACCCCGCAAATCCGAGAATTTTTGCTCCAGAAGAAATGTAACTGTAGATGCAAGATACAATATGTTTTCATGAATGTCATAAGTAAATTATAAGAAACCTATCTGTCAACGCTCCAAAGAGGGGGTGAGATGGCGGGGTGACCGTCCCTACGACACCCGAGTCCCGACAACCCAACCCCGCCTTTAGATTTCATGCATTTCCGGGAGGACAAGTACTACAACCATTGGTCGACCGGGACCTACTGAGTCATGAGGTGATGAGTTGTCCCAGCAAGTAGGAGGACTTGCATTTGAACCACTGATTGACATCTGACACCAGGATGATGAGCGCATTTACGTTATTGTCGTGTGTCTGCGTTCCCAGCATCTCTCAATCCTGCGTCTCTCAGCACGGCCCGGAATACTCACCGCGTCCTGCCTGTGTCTGGTGAGGATCTCGTGCAGACCCAGCAACGTGTCTACGGAGGGGAAACCGGCATGGGCGATGCCCTCCAGCAGCTCGATCAAGGCCTCGTCCTCGTCCTCATGGAAGGTCGTCTTCCCGCCGAGTCGGTGCTGGTAGATGCCCCGGACCCGATGCTCGGCGCCGTCCGTGGGGAGGACCTCGCGATAGAAGCGACACCATGCCCCGGTGCTGATTTCCCCGGCGATGAGGGCCGAGTCCGGGTTCTCGCGCCGCGCCTGCAGGAAGATGTGCTTGAGCAGTTCTTCCATGCGGGCCCAGGGGAACTCCTCGAGAAGCAGGTCCCCCGGGCCCAGCATGTAGAACATCGTCGTGCAGGGCGTGCTCCTCGAGCCGAGTTGGTATGCGACCTCGCGCTGCCGGTCATACAAGCAGCCGAGCGAGCGTCCGCCGTCGGGGGTGCAGCCCCCTGGGTGCAGTGAGATCTCCCCGGGTTGGATCATTTTGTGGCGGGTTGAATTGGGGATGGTCGATGTTGTAATGAGCGGCGGTATATAAAGTAGATAGTGCAGTGCAGGTTAGTCAGGTTATCAGGCGAATGACTCTATCTTTTCCGCTTGGGAGAGCCTGCTTGCCAGGCACGGCATATTTATATCTAGATTGACCCAGTGTTCTAGGAATCACATTGTCTTTATGTGTGTGAGCTCTTTGACCGCAGCAAGATAAAGGAGAGTGTCCTTTATTACTAGACCTGGAGGGTGATAGTCTCGGTCTCGGAGTATAATCCCATGGTCTTAGTCGCGCAAGTAATTGTTGTGCCGTCAGAGTGGTCTTTGTACCTATCCCTCCGGTCTGAGATTCGGTGTCTATTGTGGCCAGTTCAGCAGTGTCTATTCCTGTCTGGTACTGTACAGTACGATTGTATGGAATGGGACTTGGTGAATAGGCCTCCATGATATGGACGAGAAGAAGGTGAGATACCTTGGAAATAGATGGATCATACATCGTCGCCCTGAGGCAGCCAGGCTTGGCCCGAAGTGGATTAGCGTGTGATCCTGGGTGCCTGGGGCAGAATTGTGCGGCCAAGCCCGATCAAAAGTTCGAGCGGAAGATTCCCTTCGACATTTGCGGAAGGGAACAAAACTGCTCTGTATAGTACACCATGATTGTTCGGCAATGTTTGCGGCAAAGTGAGTTCTTGTCTGCTATCTCGGCTCTATTGAACGTTGTATCCTGATGACTGACGCTCTCTCTGTCTTGCAGGCCGCCAGCTCGGTGCGCTCAACTGCCAATCGCGCGTCTGGGCCCGATTCTCCTCCACCGAGACGATTGTCGACACTCCGATGCAGCAAGCCCCCCGGGTGACTGCTACTCCCAGTGGAATACCCTCGGAGCCTGGGTCGCCAGCAGAATATGGAATGACATCTGAGAAGGCTGCCTGGGGCAAGGGCCTACAGCGCAGTTAGTACACCCCATGTCCACGAGTCCGGACGGCAACACTAACATCCGATGTTCTTCTTATCTTGAATAGAGTCCGACTTCCGCAAAATGGGAACCACCGTGGTAGGCAAATACCACCCCGACAATCTTCTCCTCGACCCCCCGAAACCATCCGACATCACCCTCGAACTGCTTCTCGCCAACCAGACCCATCTCGGCCACTCCACCTCGCGCTGGAACCCGCAAAACTCCCCCTACATCCACGGTATCCGCGAGGGCGTCCACATCATCTCCCTGGACGTGACCGCCGCGTACCTACGGCGTGCGGCCAAGGTCGTCGAGGAGGTCGCCGCCCGCGGCGGGTTGATCCTGTTCGTCGGCACCCGGAAGGGCCAGAAGCTGACGGTGGTGCGGGCCGCCGAGCGGGCCAAGGGCTACCACCTCTTCGAGCGGTGGATCCCCGGCAGCTTGACCAACGGGAAAGTCATCCTGGGCCACTGCGAGGTGAAGGTGGTGAACATGTACGACGACGAGCTGCCGGCCTTCAAGGAGGTGGCCGCCTCGCGGCCCTCGCTCAAGCCGGACTTGGTGGTCTGCTTGAACCCCCTGGAGAACACGGTCCTCCTGCACGAGTGTGGCCTCAACAACGTCCCCACCATCGGCATCATCGACACGGATGCGGACCCCACCCGCGTCACCTACCCGATCCCCTCGAACGATGACAGTATGCGGGCCGTCGGCCTCATTGCGGGCGTCCTGGGACGCGCCGGAGAGGCCGGTCAGAAGCGGCGGTTAGAACTTGCGAGGATGGGTGAGACTCTTTACCAGCCCCTTAGAAATGCCGAACTCCCGTTCCGGCGGGCGGGGAGGGAAACCGATCAGGGAGAGGGTTCTTGAGGGGTGGGAATGAAGACTCGGCGCTACGTAATTTCTTTCTGATATTGGATTGCCTACCCTTTGACTGGGATTGTACTGTATAGGACATATAAACGTTTTGGTGTTTTCCCTCTCTCCATGTTCCCCTTCTGGTGTTGCGTTGCGTACATGTATCAACAAATGTCATGTGAATCATATCTTTATCATCCTGGGGTTATCTGATTCTACTGTTAAACGGACTGTTCTCGTGTGCCATCCATCATGAAATCCCGTTCGAGATCTTGGATAGGTAGAGTGACGGGTGGTTAGTTTCTCCTTGCATGCCGATTCCACATGGGATATACGTGGTTAACTTCCCGGGGGAATCTGGGAGCACTTCCAAGTATGGCCAGCGAGATGATTGTATTCCCGTGCAAACATCCACTTGCCCTGTGCACTGAACCAGCAGCGGCTGCCTCGCTCTTAATCATGTACCGGCGCTCGTGTCGTCGCGGCGCATATGATCCAGACATGACTGACCGGTAGTTGATGGGTACGGAGTACCTAGTAGTGATAACCAGTCCGTCCGAAGCCAGAGCGCCAACTTGAGCGAGTCACCATCATACGATGGGTCAGATTTTACAGGAACATCGAGCGAGAGTCGTCCGGCGTGCTCATCATACGGTGTACAAAAGCCACGGGTAGCGGCATGCTTCCTCCGCTGGGTCTATTGTGACTTTCTGTCCTCGGACCACTACTAGATTACTATCAACTCGGCAAGTCACATAACCACTGCACCAGTCAATCTGATTAAAGTCAATAATCAATAGACAATCAACCACCCGAGCAGTGTTCAAAGTCAAGTCAAGCCAATGATCAACTCCACCACTATGGGGGAGCAAACCAACAATGCGAGACCCTTCAAACCTTCTTCTCCAGACTTATGCTCATCCATCTGACCTCTCATATCCACCCTACCCGATCCAGATGTATCTCCTACTACCGTTCCCATGCAGGGACTGAGCGGTAGGGACGTGGTAGCCCTAGACTACACCTAGTACAGAGCAACTATCCATTAGCCTCCACCGGTTGAGGACGGTATCCTTCATGCAACCCTATCAATAATTCCATCCCGGACCAGGGCCACCTGATTGGCACAGAACCCCGAACGCGGTGCTTGTGTGGCTGTGATAGTTCGATGCAGGAGGCCAGCCTGGAAGGGTAGTTCTCGATTGTGAGCATACCAGTATGGCGATGGTTTCCTTTCGTATTCAAGTCCACACCCACAGGGTAACCACGATCTGGATGAGGTTAGAGCAGGGATCGATATTGAATTCCTGGTATGACATATCGACGATCCCATATTTTTTTTCTTTCTTGTACCTGCTACTTATTCCCCCCTTCCTCTCTCTCTTCCTTGGGGACAGTGGTTGTATAAATCCAGCTCCTGAGCTACCTGCTCTCCCTCCTCCCTCCTCTCCCTCCATCTCTTTCCTTTGACAACTCCAGATCCAACCCACAGCAAAGAAATCAAAGCGAAAATGCACCTCCTCCTCCTCCCCCTCCTCCTAACCTCCGCCTCCCTCGTCGCCGCATCCCCGAATGCTGCTGCTGCCGCTGCTGCTGCTGCTGCCGCCGCAGCGCCAGCAGCCACAACGGCAGCCAGCACAGGGGATACCGCGCAGTGCGCAAAGAGGTACGTATTTTCTCCTTCTTATCCTAACCCAACCCAAGCTCCCAATCAAGAGACCCTCCGAATCCCGAGCCCAAGTGTGCTAGTTAACCCAACTAACACGAGGGGAACAGTATCCTCGATGCGTGCCTGAAACAACTCCAACCGCAGATGGACGCCTGCGCGCAGAACGACTGGGATTGTCTGTGTACGCAGAGTCAGAATGTTTTGACGTATGCACCCCCCTTGACTCTTTTCCCTGCCCCAGAATTCTCGTTGTTCTCTGGGATGCTTGCGTTTTGGTCATTAGTGTGGGTGTCGTGGTGGGGGTGGTGGGTGCGTGGGTGGGTGTTCTTGTCTTGTGGTGTCGGCTGCTGTATACATCTATACCGCTCACCCACCCACCACTCAATCACCACCCGCCATACCTATACACCATTACCATACCAGATCAACCTCACGCACACTATCCGAAGCCAAACGCATAGCTTCTACACACTTCCCCCGAAAACTTACACTAACCTTTCTCCCGGGCCAAAAGCTGCTACAACGACTGCCCCTCCGACCCGGGCCGCTACACCGTTACCCAGCAACAAGTCCCCTACTGCAACGCCGCCCAGGCCAACTCGCTGCTGTACTCGACCTCCACCAAGGTGACCAAGACCTCCTCGGCGACCACGACGACCGCGCCCACCACCACCGCCGCCGCCAAGACGACCGCCGCGTCGGCCACGGCCACCGCGGTCGAGTCTTCCGGGGCGGGTGCGGCGGCAGGTGCCGGTGCTGCAGCTGGATTGGAGCTGGGGTTGGGGGTTGCGGCGGTGGTTTTGGGGGTGTGGGGGATTTAGTTAACAAGAACCATGCATGTTGTTTGATGGGAGGGTAGGATGTAATTGCTGCATGAACTGATGGATTGGATGGATTTGTATGTACCATGTATGAAAGAATTTTGTGATATTATGTGATGTCTAATTTGCGAATGCTGTGATAAATATTTTAGATAATTAAACAGATGTAGAATGGGTATCGAATGCATGCAGAAATTCAAAACGCAAGTTCATACTTCATGACTCCCCAGTAGGACGTCAACCTCCGGTAAGCTGATCGGAATGTCTCCTGTATTCGTCTTCGCCCTGTCCACACCGCCGTCGACAAGGCCCCCGTGGCGCAGATCCCCGCTAGAGTCCATTGGAAAACTCCCTCGGAGAAAATGGAGAGTGACGACCTGATGGTTTCGGCTGTGTTCTATGGTTCTCGTGGTCAGCATCCAAAGCCACGGGAAGAAAGAAGGAAGTAACGGATAACATACCCATGCCTCAAACGCCTCGAACACCCTCGTCGCTCCCATGTGATTGCCCTCGAAATCCACCGCCACCAGTCGAAAGTAACCCTCCCCCAGGAGTTTGACGGTCGTTTCAAACCCCTCCTTCGGTTCGTACTGCACGCTCTCGAACTCCTCCTCCGGGGCACTGCCATTGCTGGCCCGCTGCAAGACCCAACCCGCCACATCCGTAGCCCCGTTCCAGCTCACGTACGCCGTGTGCGCCGTCTCATCCACCTCGACGTCTGGCGGATCGCGCGGTCGCCCGACCCAGTGGGACTTCTGCGCACGGTACGATTTGGTCCACCCAAACCAGAAGAAGACCCTAGGGCCCCAGTGGAAATCGCAGAGGAGGTCGCCGTCGGTGCTGAACTCGGTGTAGGCGGAGGATTTCCCCCAGCCAATGAACACATTCCCGGTTCGCGGGAGAACTTGCAGGCTGCCCTGCGAGTGGCTGCTGAAGCGGCCCGGGCTGTCGTAAACATGGAGGGTATCGGCGGTCCAGTCGGCAAAATCCAGTCGGATCATGAGGCCCCGGGAATGGTCGCAGGTGTACCCGGTCTCGTAGGCTGCGTTGTCGAGCAGGGTGAGTACATTGTCCGAGTACCAGCGCGCGTCGTGCTGCCAGGTGAACCCCGTTGCCGAGCCATCAGAGGAGATATCCCGGAAAGTGTTGCGCTTCCCGCCCAGCACCCACAGGATTTCCCCGGTCGAACTGATGCAGGTGACAGTATGCATGTAGCGGGAAGATATGAGGTAGCTTCCGTCACTGGGATGCTTGTCGATACTATCGATATGGAAGTAATCGTACGCATCCTGTGGGGAGGGCGAGGAACCCTTGTCGCCGAAGGGGATGTACGATTCGTCGATGGCATAGTGATCGCGTGCGCGCCACTCGAAGAGAAGCTCGCCTGTCTCAATGTCAATCTCCTGGAACAAGCTGTCGTATATCCAGCCATCTTCAGGCCCGCCGACTGCGCTCAAATCCGCCTGGCAGATTTCGTAGATGGTCAGGATCGCGGTGCCTTGGTCGGTGATTTTGAACTCGTGCACGTCGCCTTGATGACCGTTGGCGGCCGAGACAATTTGGACAACGTCGTAGGAGGAATTCAGCTATTCAAGCGTGAGATGATTAGTTCAGCTGGCAATCACATACAACTAAGCATTCTGCGGTAAGACCCACCATGTAGTACTGTCCCATGCCTCGCGTGCCATCATACTCGCCGGCCCAGAAAGTGAGGTAATCTTGGCCTTGATACTGCTGTACCTTCAAGTCCATGACCTCCCCGAATGCGCGCTCCATCCAGACTAGATTCCCCCGGTGGTCGTAGACTAAGGGTCCCGGTTCGGGATAGCTATGACCACGCGGGCTGAGAAAGACATAGCCTTCTTCGCAATCGGGATGCCATTGTTTCACATGAACCTCGGGGGACTGCATGTCGACCGACTCATAACTCAGCGTGGGATGCGGGCCGAACAACCCCAGTTCATACCAGAGGCCGTGCCATGAGAAGGCCGTTGCCAGTAAGGGCAGGAAGCCCCAGAAAACCAGCAGTGCGGCCATCTATGGTCGGAGATAGAATGTTTTGAGATAGAATGAACAGAAGGAGAATGCAATCCTTGAACAGCCGCGAGAAAAACATCTTGTAGGGTTGAAGTGAGCCATCCTAACCAAAGTGGACACAGCATGACGCGGTCGATCATGGATTGCAAAGCGACTGACGAGTCAACGTCGGTTTCAACCGAACCGGCCCCGTTAGCGGTCGTCGTTCGTTGGCTTGTGTTCCACTGATAGTCCCCAGTCGTTCAGAACCCACGTAAACAAGATTCCCTTGAATCCACTTGGGGCGACGCTAGATTGTTTAGGTCGTGGAGAACCACGCGGAAATTCTCGTTGTCAGAGTTCCAGCTGTCGTCGTACCCATGGTTTGTACAAGAGCATCCGTCGGCAGAGCTGCCTTGAGCGAGCAGATAGTAAGTACTGCAGATAAATCTTTTGAAGAGAATGAACTCGTAGAAGTGCTGCTATACTGTACTGTTTCCCCCCCCTCCTGATTGCATCAGCTGCGCGGCTTCATGCAGCGTACGCTGTACTGTACTGTACCTCTTCGCAAGGCGGCAGCCATACATTTCGACCTGGGCGGTCCATGTCATAGTTTGGATTTGTGATGATTGATGGAATATGACGCTAAGGGAACACATGATGCATTATTATGTGAGGCACAGCTGAGGGGTTGGTTTAGGGAATTATGGAGTATAGAAAGAAGCATTGGAGGTGCAGATATGAACTTGGAAGGTAGATGCATACACTGCATACATTTGCTAATGCTACTTTCCTCCTCTCCTTCTGGTACTTCTCCTCACACCAACCTTTTGCTCCTTCTCCTTCTCCTTCTCCTCCTCCTCTTCATTCTTCCCACGCTTCCTCTTCCCCCGGGTATATTGAAGATTGATTCCCTCCTTCTCCTTCTCCTCCTCCTCCTCCTCCACCTCCTCCTCCTTCTCTGCCACCCCATCCACACCCCCAAACCTCGCCACAAACGCCACCTTCTCAATCTCCGCACACCCAACCCCCAACCTCGCCCTCAGCCTGCGCACCGCCTCCCACAACTGTCGATACTCGCCAACAGTATACTTAACATTCAACTCCCCGCTCTTCCCCGGCTTAAACGCCTTCCCTACCCTCCCCAAATCGCCGCCAGGGAAAACCCTCAAACACAACCACAGAAACACATCATCACTATAAAACGGCACCCCTTGCCCATCACCGTCCCCCTCACCATCATCGGACGACAACAAAACCGACAACACCAAACTGCCCGTCGCAGGACCAACGCCCCTCAACGGGCCCGTCAACGTCTCCAACGCAGTTCCCGGGAACGTCCCCCGCAGTTCTGCATCCCCGAGTAATCGAAACGCCGACCCCGTCGCCTCCCGCACCAGACGGTCGGGGTTTGAGCGGATCATCCCCAGTAATGCGGGGCGGAATTTTCCGTGTTTCCTTTTTAAATGTCGCTTAGTACTGCTGTGTAGTTGGAGGAAACCATGTTGAGGAGGTGGTGAGTTATGCTCCGGTAGCCTCGAATCACAACAGAGAAGTAGTGCAGGGGGAATGATAAAGCAGGCATTAGGTAGTAAAAGTAGAAGGGAGAAAAAAAAAAAAAAAAGAGGAAAACAAAACAACGTACATCTTCCACTCAACCAAACGCACCAACTCCTCCTTCTCTAGATACGCACTTCCTTCCCCATCATCCGCGAGAGTGGTCGAGGCGCGTTGACGGACTGCATCCGGGAGGATCGTGTAGCGGAACTCGTCGAGGGCGAGGTAGGTCTTCACGGCCGCTGACGCATCGTCGGGATCTTCAGTTGCACGATCCTTGGATGCGGATTTGCTTTTGGGTCTGCTCCTGCTACTGCTGGCGCCGAATTTCTTCTCGGTGGTGGTGGTGGTGGTGGTGGTGACTTTGCGCCGCGTGGTGGATTCCACGGTGGATGGGTATCTCGCTAGAAGGGTTTGGAAGGTTTCCTTCGTGATGTGGTCGGGGTCATAGGTTTCGTGGGTGGTCATTGTGATGGTGGTCGTGATTCAAGGACAAGTTGGCATATTAGGGATTTACATAGAATCATTCTACAGGAGTTGTTCAAAGCTTCACAGTGGTGGTACGGCTAGCACCAATACAGACGTGGAGATTATGCTTAGGTAACGATCCTCCCTCCACTGCGTCTCCCATACATGTAGTACTGTAAAAATGCAAGATATCCATGAGGCTACAAGAGGAGAATTTCCATTGAGCATTGCATATTGATGGCTTCGTTGTCTAATCATAAGCTGTAGAGCCCGTCTCCCATCAACATCTCACTGCACTTCTGCACAAAATTGTCCAAAACCCATTCCGTGATTTCCTCTTCCACACAATTTATCCACTGAACCGAAGTCTGATACAGGAAAGGTTAAGAGGGAGAAATATAACAGCAGAATTACAAAGGACAGAGGGTCTAGCCCCGAAATGAAGCGAAATTCTATCGTGTATCATCATCCGGACTCTCCTTTGGGTCACCCTTGGCAGGGTTCGAGTCGGGGTTGACAAAGCTCACCCGCTTCTCTTCCTTGCCGCGTGATGGAGGAACCATTGATGTCGCCATTAGTCGGTCTTTCTTCTTAATGCTGCCACGTCGCAGCGACTTCGATAACGGTGGTGCCTGGGGCGTCCCCGTGCTTGCCATCCCCATATCTGACTTCGCCGGAGTAGCGGCAGCCGATCGCGCGCTATTCTCATCGCCATCCTCGACATCAATATGGCCCAAATCTTCGTCATGATCGCCTGCTTCAGAGGAACTAGGTCCCGGATCCGAATCCGACACATCGCCGTAATCATCGTCATCACTCACGAGACTCGGGGCTTGATTTGACTCGGCTGTGTTCGGACTGAGATTCGAGGCTTGTTCTGTCCCTTCGAGTTCTCGCAAAGGGCCCCTCTGTGAGCCCTGAGGAAGACAAGACATGGAAGGATATGGCGAATGGTAAGCAGTAGACCGGGTCGGTGTCGAGGTTTGCAGGGGTGGGGGCCTGTGATCCAGGGAATCCAGTCCCTTTCGGCTACCAGGGCGACGACTTGTCGCCTGCGAGGCTGTCGTACGCATCGGTTGCCTGCCCGCACGGGCTCCCAGCGGTGTCTGATCCTGACTCATCTCCGCCGAGGGTTGCACGGACCCGGCATCTGACTCGCCATCGTCATCATCAGAATAGTCATTCAAGTCTACCACAGTTTTGGCATCTCCGACCAGTTGTTCTAGGTCAACCGCAACGCCCCGAAGCTTCATCAGATTGGACAAATGAGGAGTCGCAGGGGAAGACATGAATGGACCTTTGCCTGCCGTAGCGGATATTGTCTTTGGATCAGCGCTAGATGCTCGAGGCGTCTCCACTCCAGAGGGAGTCTGTCGAACAGGGCTAGATCGTTTTCGAGGAGTCACAGTGGCGTCGGATACAGGTGTAGGCGTCTTGGGAAGCGGCTCAATGACATGCGCCGACCGAATCAACGGATGAATGAAACCAGCTGTGGCCGGGCTGGAAGTTTCGATTTTGCCGCCAATTACTGCGCCAGCCTCGTCCACTTCCACAGGTTCGCCCGACTCAACTGCCGCCGCTTCATGGCTAGCGTAGTTTCGGCTGTGCGCAATACGACAGTGGTTGATGAATCCCTGCGTACTAGAGAAATTGTCCCGGCGACAATCCAGACACACCAGCTTGACGAGTAGATTATCCGATTTTCGTCGGATGAGCATTGGGCCAGACTTGTCCTTTGGCTGCGGGTAGCCGTTGGGTAGAGACTGCAATCTTCCACTTGTGCCTCGTTGCGGTCGCGTCTTACTAGCGACGTAACCCAAATCCCCACAGCTTCCACGAGTCGAGCGCCCTTCAGTCCATGGACTAGCTAGGCCGCCAGTCATTGGGGTAGCAGGTTCTAGCTCCCCGCCATCGAAACGAGGATCTGGGATTAGCCATCTTGCGAGATGGCGACTGTACGGGCCATCAGTGACGCCCCAGGGTGCTGGAGACAATGGCGCAGGTCCATTTTCGGGAGCCCACACTGCCATGCCCGTCCCGCTGCTGACAGCTTGCGAATAGCCCGCCACATTCGAACCCGGATAAGGGATCTCTGCGCATCGGCGTAACTGCTCCAACGCGACCTGGCACTTTGCAATTTCTTGGTCGATCAATCGAAGTTCGTTGTGCTTTAACAACACCTCCAAGCTAAGCTGGGCCTCAAGCGTTTCACGCAGTGTATCCACATCTACCTTCCGTGCGCCGGTGTTCTTGGTCACCACAGGAGGTTCAGATGCGCTCTGACTTGGAGGGGGCGGCGACGATCGCGACATCACGGGCGGCGAATTTGTCGGAAGACTGTTAGGCGGTTCGAGTGACCCAGTATCCGTGTCGGTGGCGGCTGACGAGATATCCTGCTCGATGGCGATCGAGTCGCACGGCGCGTTCTCGACGCGCAGCTTGGTGGCAACCGGAGTATCCTGACCAGGCGTCATATCCGTGGAATCGGAGCGCTTGCGCTTCAACTGGGGCAGAGGGATGGCGTTAATGCCAGGCGCAGGGCATGGCGGAGTCGCAAGCATTTTCAGCTCCTCCGCCATCACCTTGTTTCCCCCAATTGCAGAGGACCAGGGTAGCAGCCGAAACATGCCATGCGAGTTGTGGTCGCAAGTCCTTGTGGTTTGCGACTTGCGTTGCGACAAATGCGCCAGGTCTGTTAGATGATAGAAGAGTGCGCACGAACGAATCAAGGATTAATTATATGCTTCGCTGAACGACCATACACCAGTGTATGCGAAATGCGACCGATCTAAATGTGGAGAGGAGAGAAGAAAGCGAAGTAGAGCGAAGCGCTCAACGAGAGAATGCGTGTCGCTGCCGATGGGTCGGACAAGTCGTTTGCGACCGGCTGAAACCCAGCAGGGGGGGGGGGGGGAAGGAAACACGGGGCAAGAGTCAGAGGGAGGGAGAAGGTCACCCCCACGAAAAAGAGACAGATGCCGGTAGCTCCGAAGGGTAGGTAGTAAGCATGCACCACGCGGTGATGAGAAGGGCAAAATTGTTCAAATTGATTTGTTGATAGCGTAATCGACCCAGACAAGGAAGATGTTCCAATAGCAGTTGCAGTAGGTTAGAGCAGTTGGGTGGGTGGGGAGAAAGGGATGTAAGTAGGTAGGTAGATAGTAGCAGTAGTAGGGGTAGTAGGGGTAGGTATAATAGTTGCAGAAGTGGTCGGTGTGATAAGGTAAGTAGGAAGTAGAATAGAAGAAGAGTGTCGTAGGGCGCAAGAAGTGGTTGGTAAGTTAGTAAGTGGTGGTGGTGGTGGTAGTGGTGATAGGGAATGGGTGGGAATAAAGCCGAAGAACGATAACGGGGAATGATAATGACACGGATAATAATGATCATATAATAATAAGAATACGGAGTTGGGAAGCGTGTCCGTACTTTGTTGTTTCCTCTTTCTTTTTTTCCCAGTTGAGGTCACATGTAAGACGGAGAGACAGGCTGCGACAGGAAAGGGAACCTGGAAGCAGGCGCGGCGAGTGACACTCGGGAGGCAAATTCCACGGACAGTGGCGTAATCTATTAATAATGGGGATTGGAGGGATACAAGCAGCAGGGTTGATGCGTCCAGTGGATTGGGTCACTTCTTTTTGGCTTGTCGCCTGGATAGTAGAAGAAAGTTAAGGGCGCAGCCCAAGGAAGAGAAACAGAGAGGGGGGGAGATGTTGAGGGAGGGAGCGAGAGAAGTAGAAGAGGATGAAAGAGAGAAAAAGATAGGGAACGAGCTGGACAAGGAGAGGAGCGAATTCCAAAAAAATCCAGTCCAGAATAGCCCACTCAACAGCACGATTCAGGATTCACAGGATGCAGAGCAATAAGAATAATGGCCCGTAAACAGGAACCTAAAACGGGAGGGAGGATTCGGAGTCCAATGAATGTGGACCAGGCGAAGATTGTCTTCCGACCAGGGACCAAACCGGTTTAAGCAATGTGAAAGGTTATTTGGCAATGATGAAGAAAGCTGGTTGAGAGTGGATGATGGATGGGGTGGAGAGAGCAAGAGAGAGCAGTCGAGGGAATAACAAAGAAGCTGGGAGAAGAGGGCGGAATCGAGGGATTCCCAGAGGTGTTCAAGGGAGAAGATGATATGAACGACAAAACGTAACCAACGATTACAGGAACGCAAACAACAAGAAGAGTAAGAAAAAGAGGAGAGGAGAGGAGAAGGAGGGGGAAGGGGAGAGAGAATGTGTTGTTGTTTTGTTAGTGATTTAGTGTTAGTGTTAGTTACTATTGATTGATTGACTTATTTTAGAGCAACGGGGATAATAGTATGGCACTGGCACTGGCACTGGTAGAGAAAGTAGGGAAGACGAGGGGAGGAGAAAAGACTAAAGAGAGGGAAATGGGGTTCTTCTTTCATCATCGTCACTGGCACTAAGTTACTACTGTACTGAAAGAGGTGGGAGGGGGTTTTTACCGCCTTAATTCACTCTGGGGTGGGGAGTCCACTTTTCTACCTACTCTGCGCACTCCGTCCACTACTGAATTTACTGATACATCCTCTGATACTGACTCTGTTGGTACTCCGTACCATTGCTCAACTCGCCCTTCAACCTATGAGAGAGTTAGCAGCGTACAGCCAAGCTGCAAGTCCCCACGATTCCGACTCATGGTTCTATGCGAGCAGCTGCCTGTGTTGATTGATTGTTGATTCTTGTGGTGAGCCTGCCATACAGGTCGAATCATCATCTATCCATGATGACTGCCTGAACTTCTAAACCAGACGAGTGGAGCCTGAATCGAAGAATCCTGGGCCTGGACTGGTCCATGGATGGCCGGGGTACCGCCTGCGCTAAACTGTCCACTATTCCTGAAACAGTTGAAGTGATGCTGCTTTCTCTCTCTGTTCCATGCTGCTGTTGCTGTTGCTTGTGCTTTTGTTTTTGCTTTGCTGCTGCTGCTGCTTGCTGCTAGCCTGCTACCTACCGCAAGACCTACCACAAAGTACGAGTACCACCACGGTATCGTATAGTAACCTCAGATACCCGGTTCTCAAAGCATAAGTCTCTATCTGCCAATCTCTCGCTCATACTTCTCTTTCCACCCCCAAACCAATGCAAAGGAAAGAACTCGCTTACCGCGATGTCAACAAGTGCAATGTATGTACCCCTCAAAAAGGCCCAACATTGAGCCATATTTGCTTGTTCCATGGAATCGGATCCCATCTATCCTGAATTAGCTTTGTCACACATGGTCATTGTCTTTCCTCTCGCCGTCAAGCCTGCTGCCCGTCTGCCCGTCTGCCCCCCTCCCTCATATGATAGATCGACCTGATCGTCGCGTTTGCCCACCGGCCGATGTCGTTACATCATCCACTCTCGTCGTCACCCGCGCCGTCCGTTGCTCCGTGCTCCACTTTTGCCCAATATAGTTCGCAATTGAGTTCACTATGACCTCGTCGGCATAATCGAGTGCTGGGCCGCCCATGTGTTGGAGGCGCTATCACTGGAGGGTTGCTGCACTTCCGAATCCTCCGCGACTGGTGGACATTCTAGTGTCCTTTGTGATGTGTTCTAGAATAACGTTCAATGGTCAGAATCCATGGTGTGACAACTTTTGTTGTAGCGTCCCTTTTTCTGAGGCCTAAATTCTCAGCCATATGTACAGTACAGTAGTGCATCTCAGAACTAACTTATCTCTTCCTGTTCCTGACTCGGCAACTCGAGTGCCATTCGTTTAATGGAGTCTCATGAGGTGCAACTGGTCGTATTGCAGTGAAAAGGAAAGCTACTAATGGAGTTGACAGCCCCAGCGACAAATCCTATAGGCCAGCAGTCGTCACAGGAAGCTAATAGATGAAGAGTGATCAATGACTCGCACAGCGTGTGATACACGGTAGACAGGCAGTGGAGCTCTCCTCTTATTCAATACAACAAGATCTCACAACGAATCTGCCTGCCCCTCTCACCGTACAGGGCACTTAGACTAACCTCACACCAAAATAGCCATGCACGTGTGGCTGCCATGCTCTGTGCAATGATCAGTTGCGTGACAACATAAGTATACTCTAAGTTAGCTGCTTCCATACTCGTAGTAGTTCCTTCTCTTAAGTTCTTCCTCTTCCCCGCACCCCCCAATGGCTAGATAATCCAACAAACCACGACGGTAGACCACTATTACTAGGGCATAGTGCACCTATGATGTTGCATGCGCGTTGCAGCTTGCGAATTATGAAATTTAACATCAGTTAATCTTGTCCGACGATATATCATATCAACTACCAAGTCTCGACAAAAGATTCGCACTGGTCGCCGATACCTCAACAAGAGTCCGGGACTACCAAGATGAGGATGGACCTACGAAGAAGAGAGGATCGTCTATCTAATCTAGTCCACCAGAGAAGCTAAGCCATTGCATCTTCCACCATATGTGCCACCCGGATGAACGATCCTTTCATCTCCCATTAGCTATGCTCCAGCGACTGGAGCACATCTCTTACTCATGCGCATCATCATCGACATTACCTCCACTCGTCTATCCACTCGTCTAGCTCGGAATACTCTTGGTCAAGACGGCTCAAGGAAAAACATCACAAATCTACAAAAGCCACCATTGGATGATCATTCCGATTGGAGAGCCTGTTATGATGCTGCCAAGATAGAGATAGTGCTATCATGGATCTGTTCATGCTGTCCTGGAAAGGGCTCGTGTGTCAATTAACTTAAGCAAGACCAATCACCGTCCAGAGAGCTCTAAGCTCCCACCGCACTGGCCAGGCGACGTACATCACTACAACACGAACCTTGCATACAACGAACGGCCTTGAGGGAGCGGTCTTATTTGATGATATACCTTGCAAGTGGCCAATACCCACGCGCTGACCCTCCAAAAGCCCAATCCCTGTGCGCGGGTCTGGGAAGCCATAGTAGGTTATTACAATGCAACACATTGATCAAAATGGAGGCTGGTGGCCATTGGTGACTGTAGTGAAATTCGAAACACCGAGCTAATAGTGTGGCGAAGACTGTAGAAGCCGAGAGAGCGATCATTGAAACTGTGTAATATTGGTATAAGGCAAGATCAAAAGTGAAGCGGAACTAATCACAAATTGAGAGCATAAAAACAATCACCTTTTTATTCCACATTCCCGTCCAATAGCGCCTGGGTTATGCAAGTTGCAGGGTCTCGTCAATTGGATCCATGTTAGAGCCCAACATGTGCGGCATATGACAAGAGCGTAGATAAAAATGCTGCCCAAAACAAGCTTTTAAGATCAACGATAATCCAGGCCACGCCAACATACTCACCTAACGACGACTCAATTTCATCCCGGAGTCATACAGAGACAGAGCATTGAGCAACATGTATCAATTGGAAAAGCAGCAGTGTCAACGCCATACACAAAATCAGTGGCCAGCACCGACATCGACAAAACGAAAATAGATCTACCTTCTACTTGAGTCATTCACATATTTTGTTTTTGTTTTAGGTCATCCAAGGACCCATGCAGGCTCGCACCCCGGAAAAGTGCCGTCTCGTATCGTCAATGCTCCCCAAGTCATAACAAATCCAAGCAACCTCTCGTCACTCCGCTTATTCCGTCATCCGCAAAATGAAGTTGACAACGACAGCAGCCAGAAGCGCCAGCGCCAGCACGGTCGGTCCGAACCGGTCGTCGATGCCACTCTGGCCGCGTTTACGTATACTCTGCGCCCGCCAGTGGAAGGTCACCAGGGCATAGATCATGGCTGCCATGGCGATGACGGTGAACAGGCCTGCGGAGATGCGGCCAATGCGGTCACCGAAGTTCAGGAGACCGACGGCTAAACCACCGAGGATGACGGTGAAGTTGAGCCACGAGAGAAAGGTACGCTCGTTGGCGAAGAACACCTTAGGCTCGACACGGGTAGGCAGAGCAATGCGCTTGCCTTTTGGAGTTTCGTTAGCTGTGGACATTGAAACCGAGGTAGCATTGGTGGCTACTGGGACCAAAAGGGATAGTTTCACTCACCAGGAGCGGTTTGAAGGAGGGGCTGACTCGACATCGTGTGAAATAGTAGGAGTTAGGGTGTGGTAGGCCTTGGGTAGGTAGGTGTTGGTGGTAGTCTGAGCCCGCAAGGGAGGATGGCTATCAGAGCTATGCTGAGGTTGAGCAAAGAGTGAAAGATGAGAAGGAGAAGAGAAGAGGGAAAGAGTAAAGGAAAAAAAAAAGTAGCAGAGCAGAGCTTCAATTGAGGTTTCTAGTTTGGCGCACGAGGAGGCCAAACGAAGGGGCTAGGCCGAGATAGCGCTGGCTAGTTCTTTGCTAAACGGATTGTAGCGAGGGAGAAGACGACGGGCATTGATGTAATATGAGACCGGTGTTAAGAGGACGGGCGGTGATTCGAACCCGGGACGAGGCCCCCGCGCCTTTGACGGCCGACACCTTCCCCGTTGCGTCCGTAGCGGTGGCGCACCCTTATGTTCTGCCCAAGTCCACCGCCCGATAGCGCGCACGTGCTCCATTTGTTTGCTGTGATTGATAGCCTCAGGTCTCCATTGGCCACTTCGATTGTTTCGGATCATCAATGCCCCGGGAACTGTGGCGGTGGTACCGGGACTATTCCATATTGGGCAAGCAGCTCTTTTCCCTGTCTCTTTACGGCCTAGCGGGCCGTCAGATACAGCCAACCAGCAGTCCGCAAAGCCACACTATGATGCCGCCTCAACTAAGTTGCATGTTTCCAAACATCCAAACGACCCTCCTGATAACAACAGCGTGGAAGGATCTCTCTCATTCACTTGCTTCACTCTCCTTCATTTTTAGATCTCTTCGTGCGCTCCTGCATGCAATAATTGGAAATTCGCATTTGGTTAGTCTGAGCCAGCCTTATTTCCCCTCTTGTTCGTCAGATAGGGAGAGCGTCTGACGTTCCCCCCCCGTCTTTCGGAGCCACATTCCTGGCTTCCCTGTCCCTCACTTACCCACCCCACAATCACCTCTCCAGCGTCCCGTGGTCGTGCCCACCGTCTCGACCCAGACAAGACACCGCGGAGCTTTTGAACTACGCTAATCAAGACATCGAAACTTGCCTTCAGTAACCGGTTTAATCAGCTCGCTTAATCACAATGGCCGTCGAACCCGCTCCCACGTCTTCTGTACGTCTCCGACTTCTCCTTATGCATCCATTATCTTAAGGGCGGGCTGTCATCACCAGCTCACGAGACCGACAAACGAGGTTCACTGCTAACAATCCACTTCTAGCCCGTGGCCACTTCCGAACTGACCAAGATAGCCACCGAGGTATGCAACCCGGATAGTATCAGCGGTAAACAGTGAAATCGTCTCCGCGAAAATACCATTGCGATTGACCTTCGTCCCACTGTCGCCGATCACTGAATCACCCTTTCCCAACGTCTTGCATCTGAGCGAACAGCGTCGACGACACACTAACCAGCAGACCCTCAACAGGCCTGCGATTTCGCCCTCAAAGATGTAACGGAATACGATCACTCCCGGGTCGCAGACTGGAACTCGCACATCATTGTATGTCCGCCTTTCCTGCCCCCCCTGAATTCACCGCGCGAATCGCGCAACCAGCCAGAACCCAAGACTAACCGTGTTGCTACCTACCCCGCCCCCAGAACACTATCCTCAAAGCCCTCATCAGCGCCACGGCTCCCTCCACCGCCTCTTCTTCTCCCCCCTACCGCTTCGTCGTGAACAGCACCATCGTCCAACAGGGCCTGATCGACAAGTCCGCTGCGGCAGACGGCACCGCCGCCAATGCCGGCAAGCGCGGAATGCACTCCGCCTCCGGTGCCTTCTGGGACGTCAATCGGGATGGAATGTGGACGTTCAAATACCCCGGTGCCGAGGAGAGGGGCCTGGACGTTGTTGTCAGTGTGACGTGGTTTGCACTGGGTTAAACCGCCAGTCTCGCAATATAGGAGTGGAGGAGCACTTCCACGAGGGTGATACATCCTGACATTTATAAAGGTTCATATTGGTTATCAGCCAGCGAGAGCTATCGCGCGTTGATTGGTTATATCAATTGGAGCGGGGTTGGCACCGTGTTCTGGTTTACTTTCTTCTGGAAATTGCGAGTTTGATTCTCTGTTTTGAAGCCGTGATTCTTGTTGTGCTGAGAGAATGGAGAATGATACCATGGTCTTGTTGTAATAATTGAATTTTGAGGATATATTTCTACAGATGTAGCAGATTTTCCTCCAAGTATCGAATAAACTCGCATGTGGTATTTGAATCGAAAGGTCTTGCTCAACGTCCCAAGAATAGAGGTAAGCGCGCAGATAGCTCCTGAAACTCCCAAATGATACAAGACAAAACAGACGCCGGTCCCCAACACAGTCAAGTCAAACCAAGCCGAGTCAAATCAGTGAAATCAATACCTAGCGCCATGCTAACCCACAAAGCCCCTGGAAAGATGCGAACAACAGCGCGAGGCGGACGGATAGCGAAGAACGGCCATTGTAACGAGAATTCTCCCACCCGTCAACTCTGGAAAGCAAGTCTAACGGGGTTCAGAGTAATCATTCAATGCCACACATACTGCCCCGCGATGATGACCACTATATTGTCGAATGATCTGTCCGGATGCCAACTCCCACAGACGCGCATAGTGGTCACTAGATACGGTGACAAGGTAGGCCGAGTCGGCGGAGAAGGCGCAGTCCCAGACCCAACGTTGGTGGTTCGCGAGCGTAGTTTCGAGGAAGAGGGTGCCCGTGGCGGGGTCCATAGGAGGACCGTCTGGCTGGACGGGGAAACTCTGCTGGGGCTCGTTGTTGACAATGGGCGGTGTACCATCGAACAGACTGAGAGGGTTGATTTCGATCTCGGATTTATTGCTGTTGGGGGACAAGGGGTCTTGGCTGTCGGGTGTCGATGTCGGAGATGATGATTCGGGTGCCGCAAGCGCCTGGGCTTTGGCTTTGGCGGCGGCCATCTTCGCGGGAGGGTAATCGAGGTCAAGATTCCATACTTTGGCGGTGTGATCCGCCGAGCATGTTGCTAGGTGTTTGACGTCCGGGGAGAGGAGGACGCGGGTGAGGTAGTCTTTGTGTGCTTGGAAGGTGCAAATGGGGACGATGCGGGTGAGCTCGGCATCTTGAATCATGCGCCAGATGTATACATTGCCCTGGATTTATGATCATGAGTCTGCTGCAAGCTGATTGCGCATGAGTCCGGGTGCTGGATGGGTACCTTCTTGTTTCCTGCGCAAAGGAGAGACCCGTCGCTGGCGACGCTCACACTATGTACGGCGACGTCGTCTTCGGGGATCAGCTGGTGGGTGCAGACACTCTCTCCCAGATCCCAGACACGAACGATACCGGCGCGATCTCCGCTGATGAGTTCGCCCTGATTAGGATGGATGACCACGTCGTTCACCGGGGCTTTGTGGGCGTAGTTGCGCTGCAAACTGCCGGTGCGCGTGTCCCACACTTTGACTGTGCCATCCTCGGAACTGGTGACCATCCACTTCCCCTCGCAATGAAAGGCCACACCCGTGATGTTATTCGTGTGGCCGTCGAAGGTCATGACCGGGTTGGGATTAGTAGACTTGATGTCATACAGTTTGACATTGTTGTGTCCAGCGGCGGCCAGGAACCGCTTGTCTGGCGTGATGCAGAGACGGTTCACCTGCGAGTCTGGATGCTGAATTGTGCGCGAACAGATTCCGGACAGCGCCTCCCAGAACCTGGGAAGTAGTCAGCGACAGCGCTTAGTTCAGATGCAGTGACTGTCATGTCCATACCGAATAGTGTGGTCATAACCCGCTGATAGTCGCAAATTCGTGGGCCATTGGTTAGTCGATCATATGGAAGATAGCGTATCTGTTGGAGGATTGAAAGTCCGATCGCTTACCTGTGCAGAGAATGACGCTCATTTTGAAAACGCGCGAAGGGAGAAAGAAAACAGAACGGCGGTGGAAAGAGGATGGAGGGACAAGGACTCGGAGCTGGTGAACATTGAAGGTCAGTCAGCCAAAGCCGCTCGGCTTCCTGCCGGATCTATGTTAAGGCTGCATCAAGGTAGGAACTGGCACGTGGGCGGTCAACTGAGCGGTGGTAAAGGCGGCACGACAGGCAAGGGATCAAAAAAAAGCGGCGTTGATCTTCTCCATTCCATCTATTCACACCTCGACAGCTGCAACCCACGCAGTCTGTTTGCTTCAAAAGTGACATAGGCGCCTGTCTGATATTTGGCAGGCTACGTGCCTAGTGTCAGTCTCTGGCTCAGCCCGATCAACAAGATCTGAACACTTCTCATCGAGACTCCGAGTTTTCGCCCGGACTACTATGCGGCTTACGATCCCGTCAATGTTCGTATAGTGACTCGGCGCCTAAAGGAGGTACGGATTGCAGTCTTTATCTTTGTGACCAGACGCTTGAAAGGGACGAGTTTCTCATTTTCATTCTCAATAGCCACTGTGCGATCGATGGCGGGCATTTCTGGACTTTGAGTCCCGAGATCACCAGCACTTCCACGCTACCCTACCACCACCAACAGCAGCAGATTACGGCTGTCCTCCGGGCGCGCAGAACCTGGTCACCAGAGTTCTCGCTGCCTACCTTTTATCCCTATCAACGTTATTGAGAGCTCTCTTGAGCTGAGTGGAAGCATGGCTGAAGGTATTTCTACCTCGCTCCAGACCTGCCCTGCGGATTCTCAGAGGCTTCCTGCCCTCGAGGTTCTTCCGTCTCCCCCATGTATTTCTCATCTGCATGTGAATGATCCGGGGCTTACACCCTCCCCTGGGTCCCAGCTGCAGCATTCCTCCGATGTCACCCGAAATGGAGAACACGGCCAGTCCGTTGAAGAAGCCAAGTCCACCTCAGTCGACCAGCACATAACGCCGACTTACACGGACCGACCCAAGGATATCACAACGGATTTGAGAGATGAAGAGACTGAAAATGCAACCAGCGAGCAAAGTACATCGCGCCTGTCTGAAGACCAGTTGGAAATAACCGCGCCTCAGCCGGACCTTCATGACTCGCCTACTGCGCCTCCCACAGAGACAGCGGAGGACTTGTACGATCCCTTATTCGATTCTGAAATAATGCTCAATGAGCTTGATGCCGCATTCGACTCAAACAAGCGAACTGGCGCGGAAGCATTTGAGGAACCAGACCTCTGGCAGCAGGCCTCCAAAAGGCAGGCTATTGAATCAATTCGGGATGAAATTACAATAACACCAGACAAAACACCGTCGCTGTCCTCTCTCGACTCGGCCCTGCAGCCTGATCAAACCGGAACTGGTCCTCACACGCCATTGGACCCTGACCAGGAATCAACGCCTGCGGCTTTGTTCGAGGCTTTTGGTTCATCATTTGAGGATTCGCCCTTTGATGTTCCCATGGACCTTTCATATGATGGACTGCCTGACTTTGACTTTCATGAGCTAAGCCAGGAGCTGGCCAGCGTCAAGATGCCCACTGCCGTCAATATCGCCCCTGAAGACACCGCGTCGATCAGCGCGATTACGAAAGAGCGGTTCTCTATCGATGACCAGGATCTGATTGACTGCACAAGCCGAGAGATTCTACAGCGCGTGCACGAAGAGCCGCCTTACGTATCACCATATCCAACTTACGCCGGGCCTCTGGGCTACCTGCCGTCTGCCCCCAACGTTCATGTCCAATATATCGAGGTCGCAGAGGATAAGGCCAACTTTCGCCTGACCTCATTGAGAAACCGGGTGCAGCAGCTTTCAGTGGAGCGACACAAGCTGAGGACCAAACTGGATCATTTAACGGAAATGAGCACGATCGACAGACGAACGGGAAAGACGCACTACGAATTGCTCCGCGAACAGAATGCTATGCTGCGACGGGTTTGCACTCAGCATCAGAACAGGGTGGAACGATACAAGAAAGAGGCGGATGAATGGAAGAGCAAGCTTTATGACCTTGGCACTGTCTATAACAACCTGCTATATGAGATCCAGGTACAAAAGCAGACGCCGGCGGTGGCGGGGATTCCTAATGGGTACAAACCTCCGCAAAATATCCAACCTGCACCGAACCAGCAAGTTATTGCACCAGTACCCGGCGGTGTTGCTGTGATTCGAGCTCGTCCTGCAAATCCCGACCCCGCAGCATCTCTCCATCGCCCTATCGCTCCCAGCCCGCCCAAACGCGAACCGGTGACGATCGACCTGACTGCCGACGATCCAGCGGACACGGCAAGCCCAACCCCAGCGGAGAAGCAGCGTCAAGCAGAGATGCTCCAATCCCTTCGCAGCAAAAAGTACGCTTGGCTGACGGACGCTGACGCGGTCGACCGCCACAGTACTAGTCCCCGCCCACGGCAAGGCTTCTACGGCCATGGCGGTGGATCCCAGGCCCTGGAAATGATGGGGGAGGAAGCAGCCGAACGGATCCGCAACCTCTCCGCCTCCGGGCTTGCGTCAGCCGGTCGCATCGAACCCTCCGATCCTGACGATGATGATGATGATGATGATTTGGCTCGTATGATGGAGGAAGAGCTAGCACAGGGTTGTTGATGCAAACTCCGTCTGACGTAATTTCTCCCTCGACATTTGTTCTTCATTTGCGAAAAGTTTGATACCCATATCTGAAGAGATCAGATACCATCACGTCTTCCTGCAAGATATCCATGTTCGTTCTAGTTTTTCTCTTTTCCGGGATTTTTATTTCCCCGCTTACCAACGCAGCCCCTTGGCATTCACAACTATGAGTACAAGCCTATCCTGTATGCCCATTGCATAGCTGCACTGTTGGTGTTATGTTTTATGTTCTGGTGTCCGAGTCATCTGTTGTCATTACTCACATAGTATCTACTGAGTATTCAGATACACGAGCTTACTATCGATCTATTGCGGAAGGGGCCTGAGCTTCCACTTTTTGTTGTTATTTCCCCTTTCTCTTCCCATCGACGCCGCCAAAGATGAAGTCATCAACAGCGACACAGCCTCGAAAATCAAGATTTTTTTTCTTAATGTGATCAATTTTAAAAGGAGAAGCTCAAGAGCAAATGATAATTCCATGTATCAAAACAAAAGCTCCCTAAGAAATACTTCATAAGTCATCAAGATCGTCAATTGAAAATTTTCCCCCCCACCTTCTCTCTTGCATTTCAAATGTAGTGGAAAAGAAGTAATTAGGGGGAAAAGTTCGGTCTAAAATCACACACAAGGTCTTTTCTTTTGCCCCACGTTTCCCCCATTCCCTGGATCTATGGCATGTTGAATCGGATCAGTGGTAAAGACGATTGGTGAGGGGTATGTATGTATGGGGATGGGGGGTGATGGGGCTTGGGAATTCGTGGCTTGTGGTAGTAGTGTATGTGATGGGAGAAGTAGCTGTGAGCGAGTATGTATAGGTATTGTCGGGTGAGGGTGAAGGTGGGAGGAGAGAAACGAGGATCGGTGCAGGTGGGTGGGTTTGTGATAACACGGTCTATGTGCGGGCGACCCGCTCACTCGCTTTGCGTCGCCTCAGCTCTGGAGAGTTCCCACCCATTGAACGGGACGGGACCAGAATAAAAGAATCAGATCCTCAGCCCCTCCCGCTTCTCCACGTTTGACGCCTCCGATGAAGAGGCCGACGCCGGGGCCGTATCCGGGTGGTGCTTCTCGCGATCCGCGCGCTTCAACTGCTTCCGCGCCTTGCGCCCACCGCAGCACGAGGCGCAGCAGGACCCCAGCTGCAGGATGAAGGCGAGAAGGTTGAAGCCCGAGGCGATCCACATGAACGCCAGCATGCGGGTGCCGAGGGAGGCGCCGATGTTGAGGTCGTAGTCGGAGGAGGTGAAGACGTTGCGGAAGATGATGAACATGACCGTCGCGACCACGGAGGCGACGATGGTGAAGAGCGCGGTCACGAAGGTGAGGATGAGGAAGGGGAAGGCGCGCAGGAAGACGAAGGTGCGGCGGCGGTGCTGCGGGTGGGCCTGGTTGATGGTCGGGTCGGCGGAGATGGTCTGCGGGGGCCGCGACGAGACGGCCAGCGGGGAGAGGAAGATCAGGATGAAGGTGAGGACGGTGGCCGTCAGGAAGAGGCCGAACATCCAGTGCGAGGCAATCCGCGCGATCTTGAGGGCGGAGGTGATGTCCGAGGGAAGGGCAACTGGTTGTCATTCCGGGTTAGATTGAGCTGGTAAGAAGATGTGTGGGGAGGAACGTACTGGTTGCGCCGGAGAGAAGCTCATTGAGGATGATCTCGACGGGGTTGAACCAGTAGAGAGTCTTGGGCTTCGAGCAGTTCGTAATCCCCTCGTCGAGGTAGCCCTCGCAGAAATTCCAGAGGCCGACTTGATAGAAGTCGTGCAGCCCGATGGTCCGGGCAATGGTGTTGATCAGGACGGCATTAGGGACGGAGAGTGGGATGATATTGGCCAGGTCGATCTTGAGGAAATAGGTCTCTCGGATGACGGGTTTGTCGGCGACATTGCCAATCACCACCAGAAGCAAGAAGATCCAGGCAATCAGGTAGCACAGCGAGCGGATGATGCGATGCCAGACGACCTTGGACCGTGTCCTACCGGCTTGCGGTCGTTGGGCGGACTTGTTGAATGAAGGAAGCTTTGCCATGGAAAGCGGCGCAACTATCGAGTTCGGATCAGGGCGGATGATTTCGAGGGAAGCCCCAAGGAGTTCAGGGGGGATCAGATAGTAGCAAGCTGCGCAAATAAAAGAGGAGGCTGATGGTTTGAACGAGTGGCAGCGTGGATGCAGAACCAGAAAATGCAGGGCTGGAGAAGAACTGCTGCAGAGGCGCAGGAAAGTGCGTGGGTGTATATACTATACACCCAAGGTCCCAAAAACCCAACCGACCACAGTGGATGACGTTACACCTTCAGGAACCACGTGCTAGGAGAAATGACCCAAACTGTCAGGGTCTTTAAGGTTTAGCAGAGGGTGGAAAGTGAGAAATCCAATGACAGCGACTATAGGGGGAAAAGGGAAAAAAGAGGGAGAAGATGAAGAGAATGGCAGAGGCGGATGAAGTGGACTGAGGTGGACTGAGGTGGAAAGGGGATACAACAGGAGAAAGATCGGACAAAAGTAAAATTATCAGGTTGAAAAATGAGAGACACAATGGAGACTGTAATGGGGGTGTAACAGCTCCGCCTGGCGGTTTAGTCGCACGTAATGACGGCTGCGGCGCCCAAGAAGGAAAGGATAAGATCTAGACCCTCAGGGACGGTTCAGCCCAGTGGCTGGTGAGATTTGAGAAAGAGATATTCAAACGAGTACGGAATGAGCGTGGGCGCGCCACTCGAAGGTGGGGGAGGGGGGAGATGGCCCAATTGAAACTAGATGATGATCGTGGACGATTTTTTCTCAATTGAATTGAATCAATTGACTGCAATGAACAATCTCCATAGGGCCTGGAAGACAATTGACTGGCGATGGACTGCCTATCAGGGATGAATAAGCGATGAATTGATCTGCCTGGAAAAGCTCAGGGAGAGTGATTGGGTAGATTAGACGCCTGCGACGTCACTTGAGGCAGTAGCGTGGCCCCACTTGGTGGCTGCCAAGAACGCCATGCGGGGCGCTTACCGGAGCCGATCCTCCGATCGTCTCTTGCATGAATGGACTCTAGTACTGACCAAGTACGGAGTATACTCAGTAGTAATTGCTCAGGAGTAGAAAGTTTTCAACTCAGACAACAGAACAATCAAGGTCATATACCATTGATGGCTTTGGTCTCGATGGACATAGCAAACTAATACCCAACAAGCCCAGCAAGCCCAGCAAACGTGTTGTGCTCCATCCTGTAATCTAAATGGAACCCGTGCGATACAACTAGTCGACTATCAGTTTAATTTTAGCTCTGCATCTCCCATCGCTGTTGGCATCAACTTCTTTTTCCGAATACGATATATTGTGTCCTCACTTGAACAGTGCATGCCATTCAACTCTAAATCGAACCCCACCACATACCCTATCCTGTTGACCGAGTGTCAACCACGTCGGCATTTTCGCCAAGCTGTTTGGGCTTCGCTTAGATTTGCAGATCTTGATAACTTATGCAGCCCACACTTAGGGGTTGATATGGGGGTTGGTATGCGACTCTAATCACGGACAATAAACCCCATTCTTGACAAGCCGTAAGGGAACAAGCTCAACTGTGCAGTTTGAAGTGCTGCGTCACGAGGGTCTAGACCGGAATTCAGTATTTGAGATACTCGTCCAAACTTGGGCTGTTCCCTCTAAAAATCCATCCGAGAAAAAAGGGCCCAAAGTAAAAGAAAAGGTTCAGCGTGGCGCAAGTTTTAGGTTAAGCAAGAGCATGTCGTCATTGGTTGAAACGGGGGCAAGGTTGCAGCCTAATCAAGTAATGAGGACCATTGCAGGGGTTGGATTGTCCTTCGGGTTAACTTAAGTACTGTATCGACATTTCCCCAAAAATACGGAGTACTCATACATACAACTTTCCTCCCTCCCTTTTTACCCTTAACCCTTTTTCATCATCGGGGGATATTGTTATTTTATTATTCTTTTTTTCCCTTCCCATCAGGCACATTACCCTCCCGCCTGATCTTCTCGTGCAACTTGACATTCTTCTTTCACTCTTTACACTCTTTACACTTATATGTTTCATAGACCCCCTCTCCATATATATTCATACAAATTATACAAATTGAGACGGCAATTCCCTCAGTCGCAGCGCTGCGCCCCTCGCCTCCGCCTTCCGCTCTTGCTCTTCCGCCCACCCCGGCATCATGCGGTTGATCGCTCATCTGCTCCCCCTTCTGCTGGCCGGCATCCTACCCTCCTATGCCAAAGATGAGGCCACAACAATCACTTCAGCAGGGGATGGGGCACTCGTCCTGACCGGATCGATCACCACCTCCATTAGCGAGGCGACCCTCCCGACAGGTGACTATCTCTCGTACACCTCGACGATCACGCTCTCCAACGACCACACGACCGGAACCAGCACCAAGGTTGGGGTCAGCACCGTCACCGATGCCAGCTCCTCGGGCAATGCAACGGCCACGACGACAAGCTCGCGCTCGAGCACTAGCTCGAACTCTGTGACGCTGCTGGTGGGTGGTGGCCACCATACCATGAATGGCACAGCCAATGCGACATCCACCTCCACCACCTCCGCAACATCGACCCCGGTCGTCAACACGCAGCCCTGCAATGGCTACTCCGACTTCTGCTCGCGCAAGTACTCCAACATCACCATGGTCGCCGCCCACAACAGTCCGTTTGTCAAACCGGGCAACGCTGCGGCCAACCAGGCCTATAAGGTGACGGATCAGCTGAACGATGGCATTCGCATGCGTAAGTCAATGAATGACCCGGAGTATTGCGCAACATAGACTAATACGCGTTATTCTCCGCAACAGTGCAATTCCAGACCCACTTGATCAACGGGACCTTGTATCTCTGTCACACGAGCTGCGAGATGCTCAACGTTGGCACCCTGGAGGACTACCTGACCACCGTGACCACCTGGATCAAGACGCACCCTTACGACGTGGTCACGATCCTGATCGGCAACTACGACTACGTAGATCCGGGCAACTTCACGGCCCCCGTGCAGAATTCGGGGCTGATGGACTATGTGTGGACGCCGCCGAAGATCCCCATGGCGTTGGACGACTGGCCGACGCTGTCGAACATGATCCTGTCCGGAAAACGCGCGGTTGTCTTCATGGACTACCAGGCCAATCAGACCGCCTACCCGTGGCTCATGGACGAGTTCTCGCAGATGTGGGAGACCCCGTTCTCGCCCACCGACGCCGCGTTCCCCTGCACGGAGCAGCGCCCGCCGGACCTGTCGGTCCAGGACGCCAAGAACCGGATGTATATGGCCAATCACAATCTGAACCTGGATGTGAGCATCGGCAGTATCAGTCTGCTGATCCCCAACACGGCCATGCTGAACCAGACCAATGCGGTGTCGGGCTACGCCAGTCTGGGCCTGATGGCCGAGAACTGCACCGGTGAGTTTTTCTTGGGGGTTCCAGCACCAAGCGTATACTGATGTGTGTATGATACAGATACATGGGGCCGGCCGCCGAATTTCCTGCTGGTCGACTACTACAACTACGGGAACTTCAACGGGTCCGTGTTCGAGGTGGCTGCCGAGATGAACAACGTCACATACAGCGGCACATGCTGTGGGACGGCCTCCGCGGCCCCGATCGTGCTGCCGGGGCCCAGCATGCTAGGTACGTTGTTCCTGGTGGTGGGAGTGTCATTGGTTGGATGGATGTTTTAGCTTCTTGATTATATACCTTATATAAGTTTGTTTATTCTGATGGATCACGAGACATGAGCGTTGTATGATGAATTGAAGATATATATAGTGCTGCCAAATCAATAATCCTTGTGGACGATAAGTTCAATAGTAAATGCGCCCGCATATGCATACAAGTACCGGGGATAATTTGATACCTGGAATTTATGTATGTACAGTACGTATAGTTCTCTGGAGAAATTGAGTCAGTCCATCATGTGACCACACTCCGTCTATGCGGAGAATGAGCAGGGGTAGTAGTCCCACCCAACCTCCTGCAGTATGCCATGCCAAAATCCCCATCCCATGTGTCTGTCGTGTCGCGATGACCCCCCCCCCCCCCCCTCCCATATCTTGACCTCCAAGGCGATCCAATCCTCCAAGAGCAAATTCTTGGATGCGGAAGCTCGGCAGTCGTTCTGCCCCACGAAGGCGCTGCCGTCAAGATCCCGTTACGGTATCGTTGGAGCGCGGACTCCGACGTGGAAGTGAACCTTTACAGCCTCCGACGCGAGCAAGATATCTATCGTCGCTTGCACGGCGATCCGGACGACCGCTGTAGCGGCATCGTCCGTTGTCTCGAGGTTTCCACGGCGCCACTCAACTGGCTTACATGGCGAACGGCGACCTTCGGGATTATCTCGACAAGCGCCGGCCGGCTCAGGAGCTGCAACTCACCTGGTTCCGGGAGATGGCCCGCACCCTGTGCTACATCCATGACAGACGGGTGCTTGTTGCGGGCATCGCCACTCGCAATTTCCTTCTTGATACCGATCTGGCGGTCAAGATCTGCGATTTCTCCGAGGCGTCGCTCCTGCCACTGGAGTCCGATATGGAGACCGCGGATGATCATGGATACACCACGCAGATCGACGTCGGCCTCCTGGGGACGGTTATGTACGAAGTGATGACCGCGACGAAGTGTGAGATCGATCTTTTCAAGCACAACGCCCCCACCGACGGCCGAGCGTATTGGCCGGAGAGGAAGTCGCTGCCGAGCACCGAGGGCCTGTGGCTCGACTGGATCGTCGAGGGCTGCTGGGACGGGGCATTCCGCAGCGCGCACAGCCTCCAGCGAGCATTGGATTCGGTCGATCTACGGCCTCCCTCTTCGGTCGATTGACCGTGTAGGTACGCCGGCTCCCTTTCTTCTTGCTGTGAGTATCAAGGAGTATGCGAGAGATCGGCCAATCGCGACTGTCATTGGGGTCTTGGGCTTGACGATGTTCACTCTTATGATCGGCAGGAGAGTGTTGCCTGTGTCATGAGCCTTCTCTTGGTTTTACAAGTTCTCTGGTATCTGGATATAACATCATCGACAAATACTCCGTAGGTCCGGAGTACGGAGTACAGTACTACATATGAAGTACACAGCCAGGGATAGTCGTTACGGTGACGGTAGGGGAGATCAAAACACCATCCCCAAACGGGACTAGCACGCACCTGACCCGAGGACCTCCCCTCTCCCCTCTCTCTCTCTCTCTCCGCCTTTAACAATGGATAAATCAAGCATCATCAATCACCAGCCATCCATAACCTATCAAACTATCTCCGCCCACCTACACAACCCACCCGAGGGCTTTTCACATCAATTGACCCCAACAAACACCAGGGCCACACATCCCCCCCCCTCCCTCCTTCCTCTTCTTTTTTATCTCCCTCCCCTTCTCCGATATATCCCCCGCCGCACCCGGCCCCCCGAACAAAATGGTCGACATCCTCCCCCTCAGCAGCTACCCCTCGTACATCGACCTCCTCCCCTCCATCCAGACCTGCAACATCACCAACCTGCCCGAGAACTACTTCCTGAAGTACTACCTGTACCACGCGCTGACCTGGCCGCAACTGTCCTTCGTGGCGGTCGTGCGGCCCAAAGACGGCTACAGCAAGCACCACGGCGGCCGCGACAGCTACCCCAAGGTCGTGGGCTACGTGCTGGCCAAGATGGAGGAGGAGCCCACGGACGGTGTCGCGCACGGCCACATCACCTCGCTGAGCGTGATGCGCACGCACCGCCGGCTGGGCATCGCCGAGCGGTTGATGCGGATGAGTCGTATGCCCCCCCCCCTCTCCTTCTTTAGGGTTTGCGTTGTAGTGTGGAAGAAAATGAAGTGGTGGGGTGGCACAGTGGCTAATTTTGTTTCTTTCGATGCGGGCAGAACGAGCAATGGCCGAGTCCCACCGCGCCCAATACGTCTCGCTGCACGTGCGCGTCTCCAACACCGCCGCCCTCCGCCTCTACCGCGACACCCTGGGCTTCCAGGTCGACTCCGTCGAGAGCAAGTACTACGCCGACGGCGAGGACGCCTACGCCATGCGCATGGACCTGTCGGATATGTGGGTCGACTGGGCCAAGATCGAGCGCGAGGACCGCGAGCGCGCCGCCCGGGAGGACGGGAAGGACGGCGATGAGGGCGAGCCCGTCGGCGAGCTGGGCAAGGCCGCCGACGACACGAAGGAGCAGGAGAAGATGGTGCGCGTCAAGGTCGGCCGCGGCTTGGGCGTCGGCGATCTGGTCGAGAAGAATGAGGCGGCGCAGTCGGGTAACTAGAGCCTTTTTTTTTTCTTGAACATTCACAAGAAAACCTAAAAAAAAAAAGTTTAGACTAGAACAAAGAAACAAAAAAGTGTTTTGAAGGTTGGAAGGTGGTTACTCCAGTGCGGTTACGGCCAAAATGCTTGTATGTACAACACAACACAACTCCACATAAGAATGCCTCCCGACTTGCAACCTATACACAAATAGACAGACAGACAAACAGACAGACCGACGACACCTTGCTATGCATATCCCATCCCGCTTGCTAATTCGACACGACGCTAACCTGACTAAGTTATGCTGGCCCTCGTTTTATGCTCCTCCTATTTGCGTCCCGACGGACCTCGTTTCCCATCATCTGCATTCTTTTCATCGGCTGACTTCTCAGTCCCCTTATCCGACGAAGCAGGTTTATTGTCACTGCCCTCGGACTTCTCTTTGGGTATCACCTTGGCTTCTTTTTTCTCAGCATCACACGAGGACTCCGTACTCGGTGCACGGGCCGAGCTGATCTCACTGGCCTCCGTCTCGGCCGCAGACCGTACCGGAGACGAAAGCGATGCAGATGACTGGACCGTCGACGGAGCCTCGACGCTATTCTCCAACTCGAGAGTCTGAAGGCGCTGCTCCAACGCCGCATCCGAAGCAGGTTCGGACGTCTGTCGCGCGCGTTGCTCCTGGCGGCGACGGTTGCGCTTCAGCCGTCGTTGCTCTCGCTGTTCCTCACGGGCCCGCCGTACGACATCCCGGAAGGCCTTGCGCGTCGCCCGCGTTTCCTCCTTCACCGCGCGCTTCTCGGCCTGTTTCCGCTGCTGCTGTTGTGGCGATTCCCATCGGCCCCAGCCGTGGCGCCAGTTGCTTCGGCCCGAAACGCGGTTCTGCCGTCGTGATTCTTGCAGAAGATCGAGTTGCCGGCGGAGGCCCACGGCTTGCTCGTACAGAGCCCGGTCATGGTAGTCATCCAGCGACAACAGCTGGGCGCGGACGGTAGCCAGATCGGACGCGCTGAGTTCGGATGTGGTTGAGAAGGTATCGATCGATGAAAAAGACGTGTCCGAAGCTTCTGAGCTCACGGATGCCCGCCGCGTGCGTTCCGATGGTGTTGAGACCGGCTGCTGATTTGTGATGATGCCTGTTGTCGTCTCTGTCGGAGCAGCGGTGGGTTGCGTATAGGGTGCGTTGTAGTATCCGATCTTCGGGGGCTCGCTCGCACCCCACTCGTTCTGCGGGCGACCGGAGAACCCGGTGAACGCGTCGCCCATTTTCCGTCCTGAGAGACCAGCTTGCTCCTCCAACCAGCGGCTATGAGCAAGGGCCTGTTCTTCAACTTGTCGACCGTAGTGCTGGGCTTGTGCGCTGATGTGGTCCCCATATTGTGCGGCTTGTTCAGTAATGCGTTCACCGTATCTCTGGGCCTGGGAAGCCAGTGATGCTATCCACCCCAGGGGTCCGCCTTTGGATTGGCCCTGGATTTGACCAGGATAACCATATGGGGGTGCATTCCAACCCCACGTATTTGGTAGTGGATACTGTCCCGGTGGAGGCGGAGGCGGAGCGGCGTAAGGATACACAGGAGGTTGGACGGGAGGGACGCCGGCAGGGTTATAGAAAGCAGGAGGACCATATGGGGCGGCATAGGGTCCAGGAACTGGAGGAGACGGGTAGGGTGGGAAACCATAGGGTCCGGGACTAGGTGTAGCATTTGGTGGAGCGGCGGCAACCTGGCCTGGGGTCGCTGGTGGCGCATTCGGTTCCTGCCGACGAGTTCGACCGGCATTCGAGGCAGCCTGTCCAGTGCGGCTTGTTGCAGCGGGATAACACTTCGGGCACAGGGACGATCGGGGCGTCCGTTGAGGATCCATCACGTAATTATACATCACCCGGGCCGACCGCGACTCGAAGAAGTATTGATTCCATTCCATGATCACCGCGGAAATACGCCGCTTGCGATCCGCATCGCTCTCCTGAGGTCGATCCTTGCGATCGCGCTGGATTTCGGCTCTGAGTTGGCGGGGTAGTTCGGAAGACGACGACGCAAGTCCTAGATGTGGGGGGAAAAGACACCGTAGAAACATGTCCCAGTCCTGCTGGGTGATGTCCTCCGTCCGCGTATTCCAGCACCGCGGGCGACGGGGAAAGTCTTTAGACTGACTCCGTGGATAGATAGTGAGGCAATGTTCTGCGATCGGTCGCTCGGGGTTCTGCGTTGGAGCGACTCTCTCGGCGAAATAAGCCGCTGCAGAGGTGAAATGGGCGGGTAGCGAAGCGGAGGTGGCTGTACTCTCACTTCCTGCGAGACTCGTCGCAGGACTGGTAGGTGGGTCATACGATGCTGCATCACCTCCCCTCAGGCGGAGCAAGGTCCGATTAACTTCTGCAGATGCCGCGGCGTTTCTATTGCTCGCTTGGGCGATCATTGGGTCGACCGCGGAGTATGGCGGAGGAGGAGGAACCTCCTCGGAATCCATGGCGAAGGCGTAGAGCGAGTTAAATTGTAGAAGACAGAGCGGGGAGCGGTTATCAAAAGTGGTAGATCAACCTTCAGGCCCATCAATCGTCATCCATTGCGCTCAAGATGACATAGAATACCCACCGGCCCAAACGGACGCAGGGACAGACAAGGGAGGGAGGCGCTGGAAGGCAGCAAGATTGTTAACTAGTACATCATCGGCGAACGCCGTCAGTTATGGTTCGAGTTACAGACAGGCTCTGGGGAAACCTAAGACAAGTGGCAGGAAACTCACATGTAAGAATAAAGAGTAACCAAAGACGCGCCTAAGGGTATATGCAGGAAGGTTAATAATAATAGATGACGAAAATCGTGGAAGGGAAGGGGGAGGAAGTTCGGAGGGGAGCGAGGGAGGAAGAGGAGGCTGAGTGGGAAGTGGGAAGTGGGAAGTGGGAATCGTCGGGCGGCGGGCGGAGGATCGGCGATTGCACCGAGAAAGTTTCCCCGCTGACTGACTTCCGCCCTATCGAGTCGATCACTATAGCTGTTTCAGGTTGAGTATAGTTCAAGGTTACTATGTCTTATACCTGTTTGGGTAGTACAGCACAGAAGGATCTGTAGTAAGTACCATCACTGATATATCTAGTCTTATATTCAATTCAAATCTAATCGAATGAGATATTTAGATATCCGCAACACTGTTTGTTGCAACCAGACAGCCACATATTTACTCCGCCCTGCGCCCAACGCCATGCCTATATGCAATAGCAAAAGAATTCCTGGAAAATTTCAGTCCCATGCATCCCCCCATCCGTCATCCTCATCCTCATCTTTGGGTTTGGTATCGATCTTCTTAGCGGGTGCAGCCGTCCTCGATTGAACCACGCTGCCACGACTCGATGTACGCGACACAGTCGCAGAGCTAGATTTGTTCAAGCCCTTAGGCAGCGGCTTCTTGACTTTCGACTGCGCCGCAAGCCAGCCTGCAAAGTCCGGCTCCCCTCCATCATCGTATGGCACTGCGGCTGCCTTGGGCGCTGGGGCATGTATGGAAGGGCTGCTGATTGTGGCTTCCTCGAATGGATCCGCTTCCTTAAGCGCACTCCCCTCGTCCTCATCGTCTATTGCACCCCAAGCGTCGTACACATCCTCGGATTCTTCCTCCTTGGCCACCATTGGCGGCTGCTCAGACACTGATCGGTTCAGAGAATGGCCCGCGGGGCGCGCTGTATCCTTGGGTACAAGTGGCGATGACCGGGTTGAACGAGGCAGTGACGCAGAGCGCACGGGCTCTGGCTCAGCAGGCTTGGCAGCATTCGCAGTAGGCTCAATTTCGCCATTGGCCGCCGTAAGCTTATTTGTGAAAGACGAAATCGCCCATCCCGCCCATGATTTGTCGTTGCTTGTTCCAATGCGAGCGGTGTCTTTGGCGGGTTCGGGACTGCTTGTGGATGGAAGCACCGTGTCGGCCATGGTGCTGCTAAACTTTCGGATGCGCTGAAGGTAAAGGTCCAGAGTCTTATTTGCCTGGTCTCGCACCATCCTAATGTTACTGCATTAGCCCCAGCCCTATATATGTTTAAAATGAGGATAGCGCATACTTCTCTTTATCCAATAAAGAAGGGCAAATGGCGGGCAGCACTTTGCCCGCACAGTCCTCTTCCGAGAAGAATTCCATCGTTGCGCCTAACGCGAGTAAACCAGCACTGCGAGCGTGCACAAATGGGTCTCGAAGGGATCTTGAGAACGCTGCGATGAGAACTTTAGATCGCGACTGCCCACTGTCAGCGAGGGAAGTTGGTATAACCCTAAGTTCCACTTACACCCTGTCCGAGATTCTTTGCGATTTTGCCCAAGCAGATAGTTGTATTGGTACGGATTCCGGGTTGTTCATCGTTCGCAGTCCGCGCCAGATATTTCAATAGGTCACCATTAATAGTGCGGTCGTTGAGCTTGTTGATAATTGGCAAGACTGCCTTGACTGTCTGCTCGCGGACCACGGGCGCCGCATCCGTGAAGCCGGAGGTCTAGTGTGGTCGTGTTAGCAGGGATCAACAAGCAAAGCGGCGATTGACCTACAATCTGAGGGAAGATTTTATCATTGACAATCTTGTGGGGTAGGTTGTCAATCATCATCGGCAGCTGGTCCAGCAGACAGACCCGCAGAGCCCGATCAGGGTTGCCAAACAGTCGGACAATCATCGGGGTAAGCTTCGCGTTGAACTCCTCTGATGACAGCTTAGAACCGATCTTTAGAACAGCACTGAGCACTTTCGGGCCGCCTCCGCCGAACTCGACAGACTTCAAAAGTTCCGGAAGCACCTTCATCTTGAAGAACTCCTCAGGGAAGTCCTCCGACAAGGAATCGAGCTCACTATACCAGTTAGCACTAGTTGAGAATCTTGAAGATTAAGAGGAAGACCATACTTTACGAATTCTTCTCGTTCAACATCGTTTTTCAGACCTAGACTCTCTATATCGTCGCATAGGCGAATGAGCGGTGTCTGGAAAAACCCGCCGCTCTTCTTGCCCTGCTCGACGAAGTGAGCGGGACTCAGCCGCAGCTTAGGGTTGGCTGTGCATAGGCGTTTATAACTCTGGTGCATACTAGGTGGTATGTTGGTCGTCTTGCCCACCTGGTCACCACCTGTGAAGCTGCCATTGAAGACTTCATAAATCAGGATTCCCAGTCCGAATGAGTCAATAGCTGTGAGCGGGTTCCGCTTGATGATATCCCAACCTCCCTTGACAACTTCCGGAGGTGTGTATCGAGCCGCGTCGGGTAGAAGACTGGCATATGTCTGTTCAAGAGGTCAGCACTCCTCTACCTCCAGCACTTTCGCAGAGAGTCTTACATATATAACGGCGTCCTCCTCATTCATTGAACTTAGAATGTCAAACCCTCCCAGCTTCCACTCGCCACTTTCACCCGTGAACACCGACGAGGCTCTGACGGCACCGTGGACGGACGACGCATCGGCGTTTATGAATTTCAGGGTAGACTGAGACCAGTGTTAATCAATGTGGCAGTCATCACCTATGTTCAGGACAGCAAGCACATACTGCGACAGCATATAGACCCCATTTGGCCGTCTCCTCGCTCAGGCTTCTCCGTTTCACGTGCCAGGATAGAGGTACAACACGCTCGGTAACGATGTATAGATTGGCGTCCGTCTGCAAGTCATTAGAGTCGTTGTCCTCAGCAGGAAGCGCCATGTGCAAAGCTGCGCATTACCTCAATCGTGTCCAGAACCTTGATCACGCCGGGATGTCTTAATGTTCGAGACTTTCGCACTGCATTTCTGGCAAGCGGTAACCGAGACTTGTTTGCGGCGATATCGAAAGTAAACACACTACAAGGGGACCCGTCGTCCTATTTGTGGCAGCACATTTCGCATTAGCTCTCATTGTCAATGCGACCCCACGGCAAGGTACATAGAGCTTCATACCCGTTTCGTAGCATTATGAAGAGCCCAAATGGAGTCAGCAATATCAACTCTGTCTCCGAGAGAGTAAGGAAAGGAGCTGCCTTTGGCGATGGCAGATGCGACAGCGGATTTGAGGAAATCCATCGTCGCAAGTGGGGATTGGGTGATAGGGAGTAGGCCGTTAGCTGGTCTCAAGCAGCTCCGGTCGCAACAGTCGACTGTTCGAATATTGGGTAGAATGTAAGAAGAGCGTAGCAGACAACAAGCGCAGTCTAAAATATAATTCGAAGACAGGAAAGGTTTGCGGCCCCCAAATTGACAATGGGGGAGTTGTTATAGGCGGAGGAAGAGAGGGGAGATGACACTCAATCAATAATAATACATTAAGATGATCCGCGGGACTCGGCCAAGTTGAAGGCGGAACAAGACACTGAGTGGGCTCCAGCTTACCTACTAGTAAACTGCTGCCCCGCCCCGAATCAGGCTTAGCGCCCGGGAACCCAGTGCCTGAATTCTTTCTTCCGCCCGCCTCAGCTCAAGCTTCGTCATTCCATCTTCATCCTCCTTCCTCTCATCGCGTCTGACATCCTCCTTTGTTTACAGATTCAAGTACCTGGACTCAACCTTTTCATGATGCTGATAATGAACAGCGTTCTCACATATTATGATTATCTATCGTGCCGACTGATCTAGTGTTTTTCCTTTCCTCATCTCCTCCCACATTAACCTTCTGAACCACTCTACCATGTCTATTTACCATCTGCATTCTAATATCCTCAATATCCTACCAAGACGAGACTTACGCCAGACGCCTTCTCCCTCTTCTTCCCCCTCCTCCTCCCTACTCCCCGACCACAAATCCCCCCAAAATCTCCAATGATGCGAACCTGGTAAAAGGTCAGACCGCGCCGTCCGCCCCGAACAACCACACCCATCCTACCACTCCAAACCACCACCGCGCCCTCCTCGACTACCCACCTCGACCTCATCCATCCATCCCACCAGCTTCCCACCACCAAATCCACAAGAACCCTACGAATCCCACCCACCCAAAACCTCCCCACAGCCTCCTCCTCACTCAGTCCACAACATCACCCTTCTCACTCCTCATTTCCCAACCCCTCCCCCCATTCCCTCCATAACCCCATCTCCCCCGTCCTTTCCCTCTCCCCTACCCTTCACAACACACCAAAAGCAGACCAATGTCCACCACCTCGAAACCAAGGTCTTTGTCAAACCCCATACAAAACCTTTTTAGCTAAAGGACATGTGTATAGCAAACGCGCCGCAATTTGGGGTTTCTGGTTCCGCTTCACTTTTCCATGAGGAACTTTTTCTTAGAAACTATAAGGCTGCGGCGGACATTTTTTCCTCGTCTCTTTTCTATAGCCCCCCCTTTCCCCTTTTGATCCCGTTTATCTTGTCTAAACTCATGAACGATTGGGGACGTGAGTTCTGACGACGATACCCGGGAAGGAGATTGGGAGAGGGGGTTTTGGAAGGGTGAGGTTTGCGGGATTCGATGGTAACTGCTGTGGATGTGAGTGGGTGCGGTGTGAGAGGAAGAGTTTGGGGGTATCGTGGGGGCATGGGGTGGAATGGGGGAGTTGGGGATACTTCTACTGTATACTGTATGGTATATGGTATGTGGTGTATGGGGAAGGAGGTTGGGGAGGGGGATTGGGGTGTTGTTAAAGGGTAGCTGTGGGTTCTCATGAGGCTTGGTATATGTGGTTTGCTGTGGAATCGAGGCCCTCTGGGGACTTGGTGGTGTGTGAGGTTCGTGGGGAAGAATGGGGAGGTCATGGATCATGGGAGGAAAGGGTGGAAGTACTGCGGTGGTGGTGGTGGTAGTTATGATGTTGGTTGGTCGAGGTGGATTGAATGACGACCAAATTTATAAACTGAAAAGACCTGAGGAGATTGCAAAACCCCCCCTATTATTGTCATTGTTCTGTGGTGTGCCACTTTCCGAGGCGCAACACGCTCAACTTCATGACATAGAGTTAGCTAATCAGATTGAAGGTTCCATTGTTTTAGAAGTTACTAGCAAATCACCCCTCAGATTTCTCCCTCTCGGCCTTCATATCCATATCTTCCATGCATACCCCTTGCCCGTCATAACCTCAGCCCCCTTCCATCAAGCTCGTGCAGAACTACATCGGCATTTCTCAATAGCTTCCACTGATACGTCATCCTTCATGCCCCCACATTCTTCCACATGCACTTGTCCAATCTTTCATCCCTCGCGCGTAAAAAAAAAAAAGGTAACTGAAGCCTAAGGAGCAAACAAAAATGAGAAAACGAATAGACCCCCCAGAGCACCATTGCCATAAAGCAATGACTTGAACAGTTCCTCATAAATGGCATGGTCGGATCCAAGATCACTTCCAACAACCTACGTGTAGGTCCGTATAGGATGGTCACGGTCTGCGTCACGCTCATGGCTCTCCCCACACCAACCCGAGAGAACGTTCACCCTGTAGCGGGTTCTCTGGCAAATCTCTCGGACACTCGAGCCTGGCGCGGCCGAGGGACTCAAATATAAAACTGACGAGTCGTCTACTGCAGTTAGTCTAGGCCGCACAACATGGAGATCCAGAACCAAAGATGAACGCACCAAGATGTAATGGCAATCCGCTCAGCTGTAACTATATGCGTCTTCAATATGCGAAGAGCTAGGCGCGAAGGTAACATGGTACTGATAGATTTGAGAAACACTGAGGTGTGGGTCGGCACGGAGGTGGAGTCGCCAACGGTGAGTTGATCTTGTTCACGGCTAAGTGGAGTCGAGTAATGCCCATCGAGGGTCAACACAGCCCTCCGGATAGGTTGCCAAGCCTGCGATTTAGGGTCTTGCAAAAACAAGAAGAGATTCATTTCACTTCGTCTGCAGCTTCCTGGGGTTGAGCACCAGACGTGGCAGCCTGTGGAGGCTGAGCAGGCACCTGAGGTGGACCTTGAGGCATCTGATTAAAGCCGGTACTGGGGGTTCGGTGTTGGTGAGGCGGGTAATGATGCACTTGGTGAGGACTAGACTGGAAATGGGTTTGCTGCTGCTGGGGATAATTTCCTCGAACCGGGGGCACTGCCAGCCGAATGTTAGCATGCCTGTGACTGGAAGAGCGCGCGTGGGCGATTACATACTGTGCCCTGGCTGCTGGGAAGGGTGCACCGGTTGTCCATGCTGTCCGGGAGACATAAACATGACAGGCTGTGGGGGCTGGCCCTGCTGAGAATTCTGGTGCATCATCATTGGGGCACCGCGGCTAGGGCTAGGATAACCACTATGGGGCTGGGGAGGTGGTGCATGTTGAGGATAAGCATGGCCAGGGTTGGGCGAATACATCTGCATCTGAGGCGTGTAGGGAGCCACACCTTGAGGAACGCCCATGTAAGGCCCACTAGACGGTTGCTGAACCATCAGGGGTGCACCCATGCCAGATTGTGGGTTCACGAATTGAGGAGTGCCAGGATAATGTCTCATATGAGCGGGTTGCGGGCCACCCTGGTTGACGTAGAACTGTGGCATAGGCTGTCCGAACGCCAATTGAGCATGGGGTGCCATAGGAGAAGGATAACCATGCTGGAGACGAGGAGAAGGGAACATTTGAGACGTTGAAGCTGACATCTGCATACGATGGGGGTCATCGAAATGGTGTGGACCCGAACCATGATGCTGCTGCGGATGCAGATGAGGGCCGTGAGGAGGGCCAGTGGTGGGGGGTATACCCTGGGAGGACTGCGGATACTGGAAGGGCATCTGTGGTTGATGCGGAATCGACGAATTTGATGCAGAACGATTCTGAGGGGAGATAGCCGGCACAGAGGCGGGGGGCTTGAACATTTGTAGATATGTCTTCTCTTCGTTGCCGGCAGGCACATCCCAGGTAGGCTGTGTTTTATAGGCAGGGGGTATGCCACCATTGAACGTGTAGTCTTTGTCACTTTTTCCTGTGCTTTCCTTCTTCATGCGCTTGATAGGATTGAACTGTTCATTAAGGGAGGGTCGCTCTGAGATTGGGCGTGGCTTCTTTGCACCGAAGAAAGCGGACGGACTAGTGGCCCGCGAGACAGAGCGTCCACGAGCAAATGGAGATGAGATGGTTGAGGTGCCGGGTGTGAACGTGTTCGCTGCAGGGTTCGGCTTGAACTCCATAGCTCGCACATTGAATTTGGTTGAAACCGCTGAGGTCGGAGTCTGCGCCTTGGTCGGGCTGGTGACGGTAGGGTGGTCACCGGCAGGGCCGCTTGGCGGGCTGCGAACCTCGTTGATGGGCAAGGGTGCAGGAATCGCTCCCGTTGCAGCTCCCTTCCTCTGCTGCAAGTTATCAGCTAGACGGTGGCCAAGCATTCCTGTGGCTTGACGGCCCGTGTGCATGTTCTGCTGGGGAAGTCGCCCAGCGGGGGCACCATTGGGGCCGGTTGGTGGGAACATTTGGCGACCGCGCGAGATGTTGGAACGGTCAGTCTGGGCTGGAGGGGGAGCGGCAGTAGCCGCAGGAGCGCGGGTCACTGGCTTCGATTCTGTGGATTCTGGGGAAGCCTTTGCTGCTGTTTTCTCCTCGGCATGTTGCTGGGCTCGCTGAATGATCTCTTCCTGTTTGTGGGGGTCCTTGGCAAGGATAGGTACTAGGTCTTTGGGAACAGGGGTAGCTAGTTTGAAGTTTTTAGAGAACTTCATCAATTCGTTGAGTTTTATGGTACGGTCGTATGAGGCCTGGTTACGGCGACGTTCCTGCATCTTCGCTTTTTCATTATCGGCGAATCGACGGAAAGAGTCCAACACCTCAACCTCAACATTGGCAGTAGCATTACTGGCAGCGGGCACGGCAAGGCCCGGCTGAGGTTTGGATACTGCAGGTTTCTTTTCCGCCTCAGCAACGGGAGCGGGCGCTGGAGCGATCCTGGATGGCGTCGACTGGGCCTGGGCCGGAGCAGTCTCCTTCGGCGTAGGAGTGCCAGCATCGCTCGGGACGCTGGGGCTCGACCGGGCAGGGGCTGCAGATGCGGAGAGAGCAGCGGATTGAGCGGTATTCTGCCGCCTGGCAGGTGGGGTGTACTTGTTTGGCTGTCCAGAGATGAGGGGTGGGAAATCCTTCTCATCACGGCGGACACCACTGTATTTCTCTTCTTCATCACCGTCATCCACAGACGCCAAACCTCGCTCTTCACGGACATGGACATTGTCCGTGTTTGTGCCTTCAATCTCGCGAGCGATCCGAGCAGCCTCTGCTTCCTTCAGCTTATAAGCAGGATCCGAGCGATCAATCCTGGTTGTGTAGATGTTCTCGTCGTAGCTACTAGTAGCGCCGAAAAGTCTTGCGTTCGCTTCGAACTGATCCCATCCGGATGAGGCATTTGCGCCGTCCAGGGACAAATCCACATCTGTGTCCGCTGCTGGCTCCCAGCGCTTCAAGGTGCGCTCACGGATTGCGAGGTTACCGGAGATGTCAGTATCGGTCTTAAAGCCTACGGAGGCACCTGAAAGTTTGTCAGTATTGAAGATAACGCGGGGGCTAGAAACGTACCATTCGGGGCCTTGGCAAGAACATCAGTGGTGGAAACATCGGACACTGCAATGTCGACTACATCTTTGACATCAAAGGACATGCTGTGATCCGGTGCAGAACCCATGAATGGGCTAGAAGCCTCACTCACTCCATTTGCTCTGTGCTGTTCCTGCTTATTAGGTCGTTGAACCATCTTCAGAAGAAACGAGGATTCGTTAGGCTCTAGAGACGCAGACGAGAAGATTCCGGTATATTTCTCTCCAGTTTTAGTTGTGACAGTCGCAGTTAGCCCCTAATAATTGTTAGCTTCCAACGATCATCGCGGCCGGATGGAGCTTACAATGAAGCTGGTGAGCAAGAACACAAGGCGATCATGTGCATGGTTATCAGGCGTGTTAGACTCTTTGCACGGTGTTCTAGATGAAGCAGGCTGCTTTTGGGGCATGTTGCCGTTCTGCTGCGCATATGAAGATCGCTGAGTGATTGGGTTTCCTTGTGACCAGGCCTTCTGGGAGTTACTGCGTCTAAGAGGAGGATTGTTAGTTAGTATTGGTCTAGACCTATGTCACGAAGAATAGTAGAGTTCCAGCGCAATAATCGCCAATAGCGCGAGAAGATATGACCCTTGAGCATACGAGGGAAGGGTGACGTAGAAAGACACAGGCGGGACAAGGCAACATCAATTGAGACAAGTTTCCATAGAATCAGGCTCTTTAGGAGGAACCATGAAGTCAAGAAGGAAACAGGAGAAGACCAGAGAGCACAAGCCCATGGACTTTTGAAGAGCAGCGGTGAATAGGGTGCAATGAGGTGACTCGGTCGGAAGAAAGGGTCGCAAGCAACAGGTAGCAATGAGCTGGACAACAAAACATACCTCTGCCCACCGTCGAGCGGACTACCAGATTGACGCCGGTTTCCATCCGACGCCTTGTTACTGGCGCTAGATCTCAGTGTAGGGCGAGCGCTGGGATTCTGCGCATTGACGGCATTGCCGGATGCATTATTTGCGGCCGGCACGGAGTTGACAGTTGAAGCCATCTGGCTGGATCGCCAAGTGACGATAGAGCTCGACGTCGGTGCACGACGTAAAGTCGCAGACTGGAGGGACGGGAAGGCACGAAGCCAGGGTAACACACCGCCTGCGCGAACAGTGCCAGACGGACGGCGATAGAGGCTGGAGTGAGAGGAGGAAGCAGAAGATAGAGGAGCGCGGGGGTGGAAAGAAGAGGACGTAGAGCAGACCAGGCGAGCCAGCGACAAGTCACGGGACCTCCAATTGGAATTCCACCGACAGTTGAAGAGAGGGGTGGAATTGAAATGAAAAAAGAATAGAGAAACTAGGGTGGAGCAATAAGACGAAGGAAGAACAGACGTTGAGAGGAGGATAAGAGAAAAGGGGAAAGAAAAAAAATAAATAGACACAACGTCTTCGATCAAGACAGACGTCGTCAGGAGAGATTGTCAACCGGAGGGGGACTGATAGTAGGAGGGAAGGAAGGAGAGATCAATAATATTTTGGGGAGGGAGGCGGGCGCGGGAGGGTGTGGAGGGGAGGAGAGAAGCCAGAAGAGGTCGGC